CCTTGTTAGAGCTGGGTCGAATCCCAAATTCACCGCCCCTTAATCACATCGTGGCTTCTGATGGCTCCCGGGTTGTCCCGCTGGTTGTACCGATGTTTGACCCGATGGATGTCCTGATGGTTGTCCGGATATTTGTCCCGACGGTTATCCCGATGGTTGTCCCGATGGCTGTCCTGATGGCTGTCCCCATGGTTGTCCCGATGATTGTCCCGATTGTTGTCTCGATGGTTGTCCCGATGTCAGTCTCGATGGGTATCCAAATGATTGTCCAGATGTTTGCCCTGACGGTTGTCCCGATGGTTGTCCCGATGTTTGTCCCGACGGTTGTGCCGATGGTTGTCACGATTCTTTTCCCGTTGGCTGCCCCTGTGGTTGTCCCGATAGCTTTTCCTAATGGTTGTCCCCATTGTTGTCCCAATACATAGATAGGGAGACCGACAGGTAGATTGATGGTGAGGTCGATTGGTAGACAGTGAGAGTGATAGTTAGTGGTGCAAGACGTTTGGATTATCGTGGGGACGGACGATACAATTGTCACCAGTAGGTAACGCGATCGACTGGTATGTGCGCAGTACGGAAATTCTATCCATATATCAGCAGTGCGATCATTATATATACACATCTACATACACATGCATACATACATAGACACCTACGAAGCCCGAGAAACGACCGATAAAGACATTGTGCGAGTTTGTGGAACCAACGACGGGACAACCATCGGTGCAACCGTTTCCATCCACCGAACAACCCCTATCTTTCGCACTATCAATCTATTTGCCGATCCATCGATGTATCTTCATATCGCTCACACAATCGAGCTCACTATCTATCGGAAATTGGGGGGGTGTGAGCGGAAGTGAACCCAACCGGGAAATCGGCTTCGGTTTCGGTTCGTGTCGTGCGTGCGAGGCGAAGCTGCGCGGGTTCCTGCACTGGTAGAGGCCATGTGGATGGAGCCCAAAGGGCCGCCTCCTCCCCCCCTGGGCGGGCGCGTGTCCCGTGGTTGTCCCGCAGTTGTCCCGTGGTTGTCCCGCGGTTGTCCCGTGGTTGTCCCGTGGTTGTCCCGATGGTTGTTCCGCGGATGTCCCGACGGTTATCCCGATGGTTGTCCCGATGCTTGTCCCGATGCTTGTCCCGATGCTTGTCCTGATGTCTATCCCGATGGTTGTCCTGATGGCTGTCCCGATGGTTGTCCCGATGGTTGTCCCGATGGTTGTCCCGATGGTTGTCCCGATGGTTGTCTCGATGGTTGCCCCGATGGTTGCCCCAATGGCTGTCCCGATGGATGTCCCGATGGTTGTCCCGATGGCTGTCCCCATTGTTGTCCCGATGGTTGTCGCGATGGATAGTGGTTGTCCCCGACGGTTGTCCCGACGGTTGTCCCGATGTTTGTCCCGATGGTTGTCCCGACGGTTGTCGCGGTGGTTGTCCCGATGGTTATCCCGATGGTTGTCTCGATGGTTGTCCCGATGGTTTTCCCTGCCGTTGTTAGAGCTGGGTCGAATCCCAAATCCACCGCCCCTTAACCAAATCGTGGCTTCTGGTGGCTCCCGGGTTGTCCCGCCGGTCGTACCGATGTTTGACCCGATGGATGTCCTGGTGGTTGTCCGGATGTTTGTCCCGACGGTTATCCTGATGGTTGTCCCGATGGTTGTCCCGATGGTTGTCCTGATGGTTGTCCCGATGGCTATCCCGATGGTTGTCCTGATGGCTGTCCCCATGGTTGTCCCGATGGTTGTCCCGATGGTTGTCCCGATGGTTGTCCCGATGCTTGTCCCGATGCTTGTCCCGATGCTTGTCCCGATGATTGTCTCGATGGTTGCCCCGATGGTTGCCCCAATGGCTGTCCCGATGGTTGTCCAGATGGTTGTCCCGATGGTTGTCCCAATGGTTGTCCCGAACGTTGTCCCGATGGTTGTCCCAATGGCCGTCCCGATGATTTTCCCGCGGACTCTTTGGTGGCGGCAAGTGCGAGTCATCGCACATCGACCGCCTCCTCCTTCCCCCCCAAACCTCCTTATCACCCGTAGGGTGGTCCTATCGGTATATCGATCTTACTTTCTGTCGGCATACTACTTATTTATCCTTCTGTATACATGCATTATCATGCTTAGCGGCGGTTGGCCGCTTTCTCTATAAGAGTCTGCGGGGAAGGGCTGGGGTCGCTTCCCTTGGGGGACTCGTGAGAGTGGACGTCGCGGGTAATAGTGGGCAAAACTATGTGGTGGTGCGGTTTCCTAGTGGCTGCGCCAGTGAGAGGTGCTCCAACGAGAGTCCATGGTACGGTGCACTGCTGGACCTTCACTGTGGCGTTCGGCGGTGGTGTGGGCGCGGGCGAAAACAACATGGGATGCTGTTTCCCCGTCCCAAGCCGTGTGGTAGACTTCACAGGTCCGTTTGGGGGCCGATAGGACCTTGCTGACCTGGGTAATGGTTGCACACTTGGGTTCTATGCCAATGATCCTGTAGTGGTTTGTGGCAAGCGATGCGTCGGTGCCACGTACTCGTAGGGCACTGTTTCGGGCGATCTGTGAATCGCGCGGTGCTCGGATGCCAAGGGCGCCAATTCTGCCATGCTTCACGGCGCCGTACCCCGCCAACTCAGTGGAGGTGGTTTAGGCTTCGGCGAGCGTTACCGTATGGCCGCCTGGGTACCATATTGTCTGGTACTGATCCATAGCGGGCGTCTTGACGCCGAAGTTGTGTGGCTCGTACGTGGCCCCCGTGAGTCCTGAGGAACGTAGCACGGTGACTGCGTCCTGCTGCGCAACGCCCAGGGTGGCTGCTAGGGACCGTTTGGCCGAATCCCGAGCCGAAGCGCCCGAAGGCTTTGCAGGGCACGAGGATCTTGACAGTGGGGAAGTGGTTGTGTAATAGAGTTGTGAAGGTGTCCTGTAATTCGCTGTCGGGCTGACAACGTTTTTAATCTTTCTTGCACGTTGTGCTCTTCTCCCTGGCGCGGTCCTGCGCCGACCCCCCCCTTGTTGCCCTGTTGCCTGGGACCCCCGCTGATCGGGGCGGCTCCCGAAAACTGGTCCTCGAAGGGCTGGTGCAGGGAGGGTGCGGCAGCTATGGCGTCGGTCTCGTGCAGAGTGGCACGTGTCCAGGCCGCGTGATATTCGGGGCCAAACTGGACCTGAACGACGTTTTGTTTGCATCGGACCTCCTGGGTGCCGAGCTCCCACAACGTTCCGCCATGGGTAGGCACTGGTTTGATTGCTTAGGTCCTCGCTGAAGCACAGGGGTGGCGAAGCCAGCGCCGACGTAGGTAGGGTTGATTGGGTCAAGGACGGTGGTAGCCATGGCGACGTCTCGGCGGGAGCCCTGTCCCAACACTTGCTCCAAGATCTTGTCGCTATCTTTGATGTCGTGAAGAGAAATGTCGTCCTGGTAGGTGGTGGTCTCGGCACTTTTGGTGGGCGCCGAAGTGGCCTGTATAGACCAATCGTTAGGGTCTAGGCTGACGTATGGTGCTGTTGCGGCTGCAGCCTGTGGGCGGTGCGGCTTGGCGGTTGGGGGCGCTCGTGGTGCCCTCACGCTTTTGCTTGGTGCGTTCGTAGTGGTCCTTGGTCTAACTGATGCCGTGATTCGCACACAAGCGCGCCAAGGCGGCGCTCAGTTTTTTTTGGGTCGTCGTGATGCTTGTTGAAGGCGCCCTGGAGGTCGTCGGCGTGGTGTTGTGCCAGAAAGTTGTACGCCTGGGTGGCGCGGTCGTATCCACTCTTGGCGAGTGAGGCGGCGCACACCTGCTTGCGATGAAAGGGTGTTCCTTCCACAGGCAGCTTGCGCGGCGCGGGCTGCTTGGAGGGCAAGCGACGGCGGCCAATCGACTTCGGAGCCATGGCTGCGGCCGTCTGCGGGGTACCGAGGGGGACGCGAATCAGCCCCGCGCTGAAGGGCGCGGGTCTGGTCTCGCCGGGCGATGAGAAGCCGGAGGCTTCGCGTCGGGGCTCGATCTGAGTGCCAGGCACTCTCGAGCCGAGACTCGAGAGAAAGAGAGAGAGAGAGAGGCAGAGAAAGAGAGATAGATAGAGAGAGAGAGAGAGAGAGAAAAATAACGAGAGACAGAAAGAGAGAGAGAGAGAGACAAAGAGAGATAGAGAGAGAGAGAGCCAGACAGAGCGCGATAAAGAAAGAGAGAAAGAGAGAGAGAGAGAGAGAAAGGGTGTGAGAGATAAGGAGAAAGAGAAAGAGAAAGAGAGAGATAGAGAGATGGAGATAAGGAGAGGGAGAGATGGTGCACCAGGTCCTGCGTCTGCAAGGCGGAGGAGGGGAGGAGGATGAACGATGGACGCTCGGGGAGGGGAGGGAGAAGAGAGAGAGCAGTCGGAGACGAGAGAGAGACTGGACACCCTTCAAAGTCCAGGGCGCATGGATGCATGCGAGCGCAGATAAAGCGCAGAACGTGTCTACCGGAAGGGTGGGAGGAGGAGACAGGAGAGAGAGGGTGAAAGAATTGAGGCTGGACGGGAGGGAGAGAAGCGGCCAGAGATCGAAACTGAAAATGAACAGCGGTGCTACCCAACACAGGCATGCAATCAATCAGCATAAACATGAACTCTCGGAGGTCTGCGCGGATTGCTTGAGTCGGCGCTAGCTTCCCCTCCCTAGAGCGCGGAGCGCGCCAGGGGCGGCGCCGGAGGCGCCGCGAACGGGGGGGGGCCAGGGCGCACGGACGTCTCCGAAAGCACGTGCACATGCCGATGTTGCTGTTCGAGATCGGGCGGGGGAGAGCAGGCGTGGCCGCTGCTCCGTATCGGTGTTCCAGCTCGCCTCCAGACGCGAAGGAAGCACGACCCAGGAGGATTCGCGGCGACCTCCAACGGGGGCCAGGAGCTCGGGTGCGAGCTCCGCAGCACCAGGGTCTTGCCTGCGCAGCCAGGCCTGGCCCTGTGCCTGGCTGCGGGACAGGGGGAGCGGCGACCCCACGGTCCACGTTCGTGAGCCCTGAATTCTCTTCCTTGGCCGATCCGCGGCACCAGCCCCGCACTACGACCTCAGCGCATCCCGCCCCTGGCGTCTATGGAGAACTCCGTGAGCAGCCGCTTGACGTCGACCGACCTGGCGACGCCGCGCAGGCGGGTGATGGCGTTCACGAACTCCTGGAGGGAACAAAGCTCTTTTGCTTCGAGCGATCCTGCAGTTTTACCTCCCAGGAGCGCGAGGCGGGATCCCCATGGAGCACCGGCACACTCTAGTCACTAGTCCTGGCGGCCGCGGCAGTCGTCATTCGTCGAAGGCACGAGGCGGAATGTCCAGGGAGCACTGGCACTCTGGGTCTGGCGGCCGCGGTATGCAAGGTGTGCGAAGCGGGTCGGGATCCCTACTCTTCTAATCCAACATCGCCAACCTTTCCGCTGGGGAGAACTGCATAGACATAAACTTTCGGAGGTCCGCGCGGGTCTGCGCCAAGGATGCAAGGGGATCCGACGCGGAGCCCAGAAATCCTCGCGAACCTCCAGAAGTCTATGCTTATGTATTTTTCTTTTCATGAATTCCTCTGGGGAGATCGTGTTGCTGCCGTTTGCGTCGAGCATGCTGAAGAACATGTCCGTGTCATCAAGGTCGTAGTCCTTGGCGGCGCGCACGATGGGGTGGTGCGAGGGGGGTGGCCTTCTCAGAAAACAAGAGGGCCTCTTAGAAGGCAAGGGCGTTCTAAGAAGCGCCTGGAGAAGAAGCTTACCTGAAAGTCTCCGGGCGCTTCTACGAAGGCCCCGGCCCTCTGAGAAGCCCCCCTGCCTTCTTAGAAGGCCGCCCCCCTCACGCCACGCCCCTCGAGCGCGCCGCCGAAGTCCATCGCGGTGAGCCACGTCCTCACGTCGCGGTCCTGCAGGATGCGCTTGAACTCTTCCCGGTCCAGCACTCCGTTGTTGTTCTGGTCGGCGGCCTGGAAGAGCTTTCGCATCTTCTTGACGTGCGTGGCGAGGGCGCGCTCCTTCTGGCGTATGAGGATCAAATCGTCGTCGTGGGCACACTTGAAGGTCTCCTAGCTGGACGACGCCAACCGCGGTACATGCTAGCTTAACGCGGGCTTCCGCACATGCTGGGGCGCGCGGAAGCGTGCATCAAACTGGTCTGGCACACGGTTGGGATCGCCAAGCCTGGATGAACACGCCGTTGATGATTCCCACCACCTATAAAAGATGTAAGTACGCCGATGTAAGTCTGACTGGATTGTTTTCTCTCAGGCTGATGAACGTGCGGATCGTGTTCGTATGCTTCGGGCTGCTTGTGAGATGGGACTAGAAATTTTACGAAGAGGGAAAAGGATTTGTTGACGGATACTAGTCCACTGACGTACGTTCGTCGTCGTCGTCGAGGGGCTGGTGACCATCAATGAGAAGCACTTCAATCACGTGTGCGTGTACCTCGTATGTCAGGGTGGCGTACTTACATCTTTTATGATGCCCACCACCGCGAAGCCTACGGTCAGTTTGTGCACGAGGCAGAGCACGACGAACCACTCGCTCACGTTCTCGGCGAGCAGCCGGCAGGCGATCGGCCAGTTCGCCAGCGTCATCTCGAATGTGGAGAGGACGGCCCTGGTGAATGTGCCAAAATACTCAAACACTTCTCTCCGCTGCTGCTCGTCGTTTCGGTCATCGTTGAAGTAGCAGAGGCTCAAGGTTTCGGTTATGAGGAACGCCACGAGGACCTGGGCGAGGAATAGTATAACGGAAGCCCAGCCCAAGGCTGAAACGCTTCCTCTCAGAGCAGTGCAGATCAAGTACAAGGAATCGAGCATCCTCGTCGTTTTGACCAGCCGTATGAAGCGAACAAGCCGGAATATGCGGATAACCCGAATCAAATGAGCGTCCGAGTGCACCTGGCGATCCAAGTGGACGACCTCTGCAATCCACAGCACCGTGATCACGGCGTCGAAGATGCTCCAGACTTCTTTAAAAGTGCCGTGCAGTCCGAGCCCTAGGAGCTTCAAGGCGAGCTCAAAGCAGAACGCGACGCCCAGCACAAAACTCATTACGTCGAGCACATCGACGGCCCAGGGCCAGACCCGCGCAGCCGGCCTGAAGTAAGACCCGTATCCCAGCTGGAAGCCGAGGTCCAGCCCCGAATATTGCGATTCCATCGCCATGCAGACCGCGAGCACGATGACGAGAAGTGCCCCGGCGGCCTCGAAGCGGGTGCTGGTCACGAGCCTGCCGAGACGCGTCGTTTGCTCCTCGCGCTTGCGGAAAACCGTCGAAGTCACCCTGTTGATCACCTGAGCGACGATCATAAACTGGTTTCTCGCGAGATGACGCGGCGACCTTACGCGGTGGCCTACACGGGCCTCCAGCGAGGCACGCCGAGTGGAGAAGAAGGCGCTGACGCGCGGCCTTATGCGGGCAACTTGCGCGCGAATGTCGGCGCAATCGAACCCGTTCTCCTGCGTCGCTCACCCGCCACTCCCAGGACCTCTCCTAGAGTGCAGTTTGACCAGGATTTCGAGGCGACCCCTGCCGTGGCGACGAGGGCCTCCCAGGAGGCCCAACGCGGCATCCGTAGCTTCTCTTCCTCTGAACCTGCGCGCTGGTCCTGCGGCACTGCACGCTCAGCTGGCTCGAGCGCCAGTGGACGTCGCTGGTGCTGGCCTGGTGCAGCGGGGCCGCGCTATCGGCAGAAGCCCTCGCCGTCGCCGTCGTGGGCACCGTGTCCAGTTCTCGGGTGGTGACCTGGGGTGACACCAGCCACGTGAGAGTGACCCTGGCCGGGCAAGAATGACATCTTCAGCCTCTCGGGGCTCTCACCGGGCCTCGGGACCGTCAAGAACAAACCCGGGATGAAGAACTGGTGCTGGGGAATTGGTCGAGGGGGTCGGGGAAGCCCGCGCCTCGAAAACATCGAGACGCTGGACGTCTTGGTTCGGTCCTCTGGTGCGCGACGTTCCCAGCAGCTGCGTGCGCAGTGCGCCAGCAGCGGCCTGCGTGCTTGGGCCTGACCCCGCAGCGCCCCCCGCAAAAACCGCGCACCACGGGCCACTCGGGCGAAGGGCCACTCGTGCGTGCAGAGAGAGAGAGAGAGAGAGAGAGAGAGAAAGAGAGAGAGAGAGGGAGATCAAAGTGGCTGCTCCCCGGACCTCTCCCCGGGCGCGCGCGCTCTGACCAAGATCTCGAGGCGAATCCAGCCGTGGCGACGAGGGGCGGGTAGCGGCATCGCATCTCCCCCGAGATCCGACGACCCCCCACAATTGCAACATCGTGGAAACTCACGGCCAGAGCCCGGGACCCCATCTTTCTGCGCCAGTTTCCGAGCCAGATCGATCTGTGAGGGTCCGGGGCTCGAAATGATGCGACACCTGCGGACTCGAAAAAGCTGCAACGCCAGGACCTCGAGGCCTTCCCGCCCTGGGTACCAAGCTGTCGTCGCGATCCTGGAGCTTGACGGCGTCCCAAGCCAGGTCCGGAAGCACCCCGCTCGGCTGCCCGCCGGGCGCCTCGGGCGCCTCGGCGCTGTCCGCCAAGGACCCGGGCAGCGTCCTCGGGCTCGGCGGCGCAAGCGTCCGCAGGGCGCCCACGGGCGCGGAGCGCGTGAGCTCGTCGGCCGAAGTGACCTCCGCCGCCGGGGGTTACCAGGGGTGGCCTTGGCCCAGGGCCCCCCAGCTATGCGTGCCATCCTGGGGCCCCCAGGGCCTCGTGAGGGAGCGCTGTCGAGGCCATCTGGGCTACTCGGGGAGTCCTGGGGGTAACTTGCGCCAAGAGCACCGTGGGCAACAGCCCAGATCTTCGACGTCGTGCTTTTTCCACGACGTCAACCCAGAGATCTCTAGAGCCCTTCCACAAGACAAATCTTTCATTCCGAGTCGATTCTTGACGGTCCCAGCGGCCGAGTGAGGGCCCCCAGAAGCCGAAACAATTGCCAAACACCTCGCGTCCCAAACATCCGACGATACGATTTTCTCAATCCGCGGTCCCCGACTCCTTCCTCGGGGATGGTTTTTCGTCCCGGATCCATTTCTGATAGCCCCCGGGGCCGATATCGGGCCCCGGAGGCCGAAATCCAGGAAAAAAAATGGATTGAAGAAATCCTCGGGGGTGGTCTTCCCGTCGCGGATCCATCTCTGAGGCCCTGGAGGACCAAATCCTGGAAAAAACGCTGGATTGACAAAAAATCACCAGGGGTGGATTTTCGTCCAGGATCCATTTCTGATAGCCCCTGGGCCCGATAACGGGCCCTGGAGGTCGAACTCCAGGAAACATCATTGGTGGATTACACAAATCACAGAAGTCAACCCGTATAATAAGGACGCGCGATAAGGATGCAAGTGCCTCGGAAGGCCATGCCGAAACTTTGCGAGCGAGGCGCGGCCAGCGAAAGCGGCCAAGGGTGGGCCGAAGGCGAAGGATGCAATGGTAAACATGGACAATTGCTCATCCTTACTGTGCGGGTCCCGGAAGCCGAAGTCCAGGAGAAAACGCTGGATTGGAAACATCCCCGGGGCTGGTTTTTCGCCCCAGATCCAAGTTTGATGGACCCTTGGCCGTAATGGGCTCCGGAGACCGAAATCCAGGAGAAACCGCTGGATCAACAAAACACATACGATCAATCCGTATAATCCGCCGATCCGGCGTGTGAGCTACAAGGAGCCTCAGCAAGAGCTTCAGCTCTGAGCCTCAGCAAGAGCTTCAGCTCTGCTTGGGGGGGGTCGCCGGGGTGGCTTTGCCGGGAAAGGGAGGGGGGGGGTCCTCCATCTGGCGTTTTCTAAAAAGCAATTGCGCATCCCCAAGATGTTTCGGGGGGTACCAAGGATCCCCCCCAGGACTCTCCCCGTGGAACCCTCCCCGGACCCCTCACCCAGGGGAATAAGCGGGGGAGGGGGGTTGGCGGTCCCCCATCTAGCGTTTTCTTAATGATCTGCGCATCCCCAAAATGTTTCGGGGGGTCCCAGGGACCCCCCTCAGATCTAGCCGCTACCGCCCCCAGGACCCTCCCCTCGGAACCATCCCCGGCCCCCCCCCCCCCCGGACCGCTCCAGGCACCCCCCCAGAGGGCACGTCAGCTCCAAAAAGTGTCCCCGACGACTCCAAGAGCGCCCTCCATCCCAAACAGCGTCCCCGACGACTCCAAGATCACCGAATCCGGAGCCCCCCGGATCGGTGGCACTGGCCGGAGGCCATTACAATAAGGTCGCACGATAAGGATGCAAGGGCCTTGGAAGTCCATGCCGAACTTCGCGAGCGGGGCGCGGCCAGCGAAAGAGGCCAAGGATGGGCCGAAGGGGAAGGATGCAAGGGTAACCTTGGAAAGTTGCTCATCCTTACTGTGCGGGTTGACTGTAACGGGCCCCAGAGGCCGAAATTCAAAAAAAAAACGCTGGATTGAAAACATCCCCAGGGGTGTTTTTTCGTCCTGGATCCATTTCTGATGATGGCCCCCGGTCCCGATAACGGGCCCCAGAGGCCGAAATCCAGGAAACACCGCTGATTGAAAACAGCATACAGTCAACCCGTATAATACGGACGCATGATGAGGATGCAAGAGCCTTGGACGGCCATGTCGACACTTTGCGAGTGAGGAGCGGCCAGCGAAAGCCGCCAAGGATGGGCCGAAGGGGAAGGATGCAAGGTTAGCCTTGGAAATCTGCTCATCCTTACTATGCGGGTTAACTGTACCCTCGGATCTCTGGTGTCGTGTCTCTTTCCGCAGCGAGAGGAGGTGGGGGTCCCGACCTGTGGAAGGCGTCCAGGGGCACGCGCGTAAAAAGACACAACCCCTAGGATACCTAACATTTTTTTCATACTTTATCTGGAGTGCCGTCTTCCCCTCCACCGCTCACATTCTCCCACATTTTCCTCGGGATCTTGGTTCACTTGTGTCTGTGTGTTTTTCCCTTCGACAACGGCCGGCCGCACCGGCCCCTCATGCCGAAGACTTTCGCGCTGCGAGTGGCCTCCCCCCTTCGCTCCTGCTCCGCGGCCGCCCTCAGACCTGTCTCTTCCTGCTGCAGCCAGACAATTCATACGCACCGCCCCAGCTACCAGAGGGCGCGCGTGCGGATTGCCTTTGCCGCGCGGCTACGAAAGAGGCGGAGGGAGGGAGGAGGAGGAGGAGGAGGAGGAGGAGGAGGAGGAGGAGGAGGAGGAGGAGGAGGAGGAGGAGGAGGAGGAGGAGGAGGAGGAGGAGGACGAGGGAGGGAGTAAGGAGGAGGGAGGGAGGCAGGAGGGAGGGAGGAGTGTTTTCTCCATCCTGGCCTGTGCGCGGCCAAGGCCTTGCTGTCCCCTGCGCTCGAACTGCTGCACCAGGACGGAGTGCCGGGCCTCCAGCAGGCGAGCGACGGCGGCGCGCTCCGCCTGCAGCGCCCGCGACAACCACTTGCCGACGCGGGCGCGCTCGCCCCCGGCGTCCGCTGGGCTGCCCGCGTCCTCGGGGCGCCGGGGAGACCCTGAGATCCATGGCGTCGCAATTTTCTCCGAGCGGGGCATTTTCGCATCTTTTGGGGCCCCAGGACCTTCACGGATCGAGACACGGCGCCGGGGCTTCTCACGACGTTGTCAATCTTCAGTGTCGTCGGCTCTCAAGGGAAAGGACAAGCCGTCACTCGGGCGCCGTCACTGCCGCCAGACGTGGGGAGCAGGGGCGTTGCGTTTCCTCCCTTTCCCCGGTCGCCTCGTCGTTCGTTCCTGCCTCCCCCTCTGCGCTCGTGCCCTCGTCGCCGTCGTCCTGTGGATAAGGTGGGCCGACGCGGGGTTACCTCCGAGCAGACGCCCGGCTGCGCAGCGGACTCGCACCGAGGCTTGGCACCGACTCATGTTTTTTTCAGTCCTGGCGCTTTTCCTGGATTTCGGCCTCCGGGGCCTGCTATCGGGCCCCAGGGCAATCAAAAACGAACCGGGACGAAAAACTACCCAGGGCATAAGGGGTCGGGAGCTCTGCGGCCGCAAAATAAACAAATCAGAAGCTGTTCTAAGTGGGCCAGACTGTCAGGAACTTTTGCACAGCGTGCCGCGGCGGTGGCCCCGTCGACACGCCATGCCCTGCGAGCTGACAGCGTGCCGCTCCGCTCAGAGGGACGGGATAGCGCGTCGCGCCGAAACGTGGTGGGCCAGAACTGGCGGCGTGACGCGCTAAGCTAAAATTCCTGACTGCATTTTCCCTTGGGCTTAGAAACGTTGTTCTCGTGGCTCAACCCAGTCGGCCTGGTCACAAAAGGAAGAAGTGTGCCCAGCGGTACGGCCAACGCTTGTGACAGGTGGTCTGGCCCATCTATCCAAGTGGTTGGGGCCACGAGTCCTCTTCCTTGTCTTCTCTCTCCTCCTGGTCCTCTTCCTCTCCCTTCGCCGCTTCCTCCTCCTGCTTCTCCTGCTTTCCTCTCCTCCCTTGCCTCCTGTGCATCCCTCTGCCCCGCGCTGCCCCTCCTCCTCCCGCTCCTCCTTCTCCTGCTCATTTTCCGCTTCCTCCTCGCTCGCTCGCTCGCTCGCGGCTGTTGATCCAATTTGTTGGTGCAGCCAATGGCCCCCTCCTGCGGGTGCCGTAAGGCACCGCAGGAGGGGGCCAATTCGGAAAATGGGCTGGTCAGCGGTGGTGGGGCCGGCGAGGTACTCGGGGGGAGAAACGGACGGGGGCCCGAAAGAGGAGGTCGAAGGGGGACGCGGGCGGCGAAGCGAACGAAGGAGGGGAGGAACGAGGGGAGGGAATTGCGGGTCGACTGGTGTGCGCCCTCCTAACCCACCCCCACACCGACCACCGCACCCACCAAACCCATTAACCTCCACACTCATCCACTCCCATCCCTCCCTGCCCCTCCGAGGTGGTAGTGTGTCAGGAGGGTGCAGTTCGTATGCATGGAGTAGCCGAGGATGTAGAGGGCAAGGATGCTCCCGCTGACGATGCGGAGGGTGCGGTTCAGGAAGCGATAGCTGATGAGGAACAGTTGGAGCGTAGATCAGAGGTCGGGAAGGCGTTTCCGCTGGCTGTGACGTCGGGCGCGTGGGCACCTCGTGCGGTCGTCTAGTGTTTGGTAGGTGATGGCGAGGATTGCGATCGCCGAAGTTCACGAGCGTAGGTTGTCGATGGACTCGTTGAGGCTGTCGATGGGCTCGGATATGGGTTCCTTGGCCAGGGTGATCTCCTTCTGGGTGTTGAGGGCCTGGTTGTAGCTGACGTGTTGTTTGCCTACCACTGTCGTCAGGGTGTCGAGTTCCTCCTGGATGTCGTTGTGTTGGGACTGGCATTCGGTGATGCTGTCTGATATCAGGGACTGTTTGGTGTTCCGCATGGTATTGGTCTGGGTGATGGTGCCCCGTGCCCATAAGTCGTTGCTGCTCTTGTAGGACATGCTGACGATTGTGCCCTCGTCCCCCTCGTTCGCAGTGATTGTGCCGTGTTCGAGAGAGTCCTGCAACTTAGTGTGGAACGAGTGGCGTATGGTTGCTTCCATCGGGAAATTGATTGCGTCGGGGTTGATCTTCTCGTGTGTGACCGTGGTGACGGGGAACCAGCCACTGGGCCTCTGTGGTACGACTTCTGTGGCAAGTGGTTGGTTGGCGCTCGCTGCTAATGTGCTGTCGTTCGTTGGACGTCGGGTTGGAGCAGCTGGGTTCCCTGGTGGTTGTGTGTTGCTCCTGTAGGTCAAGGTCGTGCTGTCTGGTGTTGACCTCGTTGTCCATCACGTGTGTAGGTTGCTCTGCTGTTTCGTCTTGGACTGTCGGTAGGGTGGGCTGCGCTTCGAATTTCGCAGTCTTCGCTGCTGGGGTCGCGCGGCTATGCTGGATTGGTCGTTGCTGCTGGTTGGGTGTCAGTACTGGTGATATGCTTGATGGGGTTGCGCTGGTAGATGCGTCTGCGTTGCTCGTAGGTGCTTCGTCGTTCGGTAGGTGCGCCGCGTTGTTGCCCTCAGTCATTGTCGTGTCTTCGTTCTTGTGCATGGTGGCTTCGCGTGTGCTCGCGTCTCGGGTCGGTGGCATCTCGATATGTATCTCGCGGTCGAACGTGCTGTGGTCGTCGTATGGTGCGAGTATTGGTCTTGGGCTGTGCAGCTGCTTAATGCGGTGGATGATGTGACTGACTCGTGGAGGGTGTAGACCTCCCTCTAGCGTGGGTGCGATCGCGAACATGTTGTTGCCGAAAGTGAGGAACGGCCTGGGTTCCTGGTTGGCCTTGACGTGGGAGAAGAAGGTGCCGCCTGCGATGTCGCTGTACCACAGGTGTGCTCGATCGACCCAGTCGCGTGCTCTCTGTTCCTGTTGGTATTGTGTCCTCAGCCTGTCGAGTAGGTCGTGGATGGTCTGTGTCATTGCTCTGTCGACCTGCTCTCGTTTCACGGGGTGCTCTGGCAATGCGGGGTGGTCGTTTGGAGGGGGGGAATATCCACCTGAGACTGTGGTGGAAGCAGCCGCCTTGTTTGTAGTCAACGCGGCTCCTGTTTACGTCGGCGGCGGCCTGCCATCCCGGTGGCAGCGTTGCATTGCGGTTGGAGTCGGGCCACAGGATGTCGCCTTGATTGTACCTTGGCGGAGCGACTGGGTGGCGCAAGTATCGGGGGGTCGGCGTCGTCGTTGTGGTTTGTGCTGGGGCTCTGCCTGGTGGTGGTCCCTGTGGCGGCGTCGGCCGGCGCGCTGTCGGCGTCGCGTCCTGGTTGTATATGAGCTGGGAGATAGTCGGCGTAGATGGAGGAGTGGTTTGTTCGACCTGTGGTGTTGTCCCTTCTTGTATGAGCAGCAGGTCGGTGTTTGCCGTGCTGGTCGTTGCGCTTGTTGTGGTCGGACTTCTGGGAAGGCTGCATTCCATTCGGGGAAGTAGCTTTGGGTCCAGTTGATGGGCTGAAAGCCAACGTTGCGTAGTTTCTGGTGGTGCTGGAGCAGGTGGCGAGAGCTGTGGTTGTCCTCGTCCTCGATGAGGTACTGTCTTGCTTTGTGTGCGTCCTATTCAGATAGCTTGTCGATGTCGTTGACCTTGATCAGCGTGATGGCCCCTAGCAGTATTTCTGTGGGTGGCTTGTATACTGGTGGTTGGTAATCCGGTCTCTGTCTTATCTCTGGTAATGCATCGCCATCTGGGGTGAAGTCGGCGTGGTGAACGATGGTCTCCTTCTTGTGTGCCTCCGTGTGGACGTTGGTGGTTCTGTCGGTTCTTGCTGTGCATATCTCCGAGGTCGTGGTGATCTCCTGTGCCACCTTGGCTGGGCATTCGATGAAGGCGTTGTCTATGATGGAGGGCCACTTGGGGAAGTCGCTGGTGGGTGAGCTCAGTTTTAGAATCGTCGCGTGGTCGATCTCCTTCATAGGTAGTGGTGTTGTTCGGTATGTTCCTTTCCATGCGGATAGGAGTGCGATTCCTCGTTGGTGGCAAAAGTATACTGGTACTCGCTGTCCCGTGAGGTCGGTTTCTTCGCAGTGCAGTCCGCCGATGGTCTGTGGAGTAACGTGAGGACGATCGACGGGTAGTCTGTAGTTGTCCGTGAATGGGTGTAGTGCTCCTCCTCCACGGGTTTCCACGATGTCGCTTGCGTATGCTGCCAGTGTGCCAATGTCAGAGGTGGGGTGCAGCGTGCCGTAGATGTCGGTGGTTGCCAGTATGTACGCATTCTGGGTAAATCTCTCTATGTTGCTGTGGATGGCTTGGCGCTCTTTCTCCTCGCAGTTGTGGCGCTTTTCCATGCCATTCCCTTTGAGGATGTGCCGCGTCTGGAGGTTCGCGAAGGGCTCTTCGTCCTTGTTCTTCCAAGGTGGTGCTTGTAGTAGTGGTGGTTCGGTGGTTGCCCGCCTTCGGATGTCGTGTCACTCCAAGTTGTGGACGATGATCTTCTTGGGGTCGCGGTCGTTTGCTGCATCTTCTGGTGTGCGGTATTTTGTAGCAGTGCGGTAGTGAGGGCAATGATTAGGTTGATTTATTTAATGGTTTGTGTCGGTCCATAGCTCGTTGTTGGAGTGCACGATGAAGCTGTCCAGTACGGTGACCCAGCTCTCCTTGACCTTGTCCTTCCAGCACTCCCCAGTTGCTGCGAGGTAGGCGATGGTGATGTGGTGTCGGTAGGTGGTGCGTACGAAGCCTCCCTTCATTGCCGCGGGTACTTAGATACATCCCAGGTCGAGGTAGACGTAGGTGTAATGGCGTGACGAGGTTTCAGCCGTGTTGACTCCTTGGGATGGCATTGCGATGCCTGTTCAAGGAGCAGCGCCTTGTGGTTCTGCTTGGGGGGCTCCTGGGGTGTAGATAAGCGCCTTCTTGTTGTCGTAGCCCTTGCTGTAGTACATGAAGGTTGACATTCCTTCTTGTTGACGCTGGGGTGGGGCCTCGCTTCGTGTCCTGCGTGGGGCTGGGCTGATAACTGCAACTCGTTGCTGGTTGGCGTGGTCTAAGTCCTTGACTCCGTTGGTGCAGTGGAGCTTCACCTTGGTGATGTCGATGAACTTGGGTAATTTGCCAAACACGTCTGCAAGTATCCAGATATCTTCTTCTTGATCGTGATGAGGTACTGTGCGCCTCTGGGCATGTAGATCCAGAGGAGGCTTCATGATGTGCTGCTCTTGGCAAAGGTGGCGCCAAGTGCGCGCGGGTCGGCTGTGCTCAGCTCTTGAGCCGAAGCAGCGCTACGGTTGTGATGGTCAGATGTGGGATTGGAGTATGTGCAGGCCATGGCATTTGGGGGGGAGCTTCCTTTTCAACAGGGTGGGCGATCGGACGCCACGGTGAAGCGTTCCAGAACCACTGCTGATAATATTTTCTGTATTGAAAGCAATAACCCGCCGTGGCCCGCATTTGCGGGGTGACCACCATCCGTCGCCTGCCTGGTAGCTTCCTCCTCCGTCTCCTCCTCTTCCCTCCCCCCCCAACCCCTGGCCCTGGACTCGCGCTTTGTACGGCGCGCTTGGTGCAAGGCGCGGGCGGGCCCCCTCCAGGCTGCAGGCTGGAGTTCTTTCCTCCGCCTCCCGCTCTGCTATGCCCAGGACGTTGTGGGGCGCCGCCTTGGTGTTTCCTTGCTTATGCCCGCACACCTCCCTTCGGCCGTCGAGCGAAGTCCGCATCTTGCCCGCGTGTGTTTCCCCACTGCGAGCGCTGAAGAGTGCTGACTTGTCTGTGCCATCATTGTTTCCCCGACTTTCGTCTCTTCAAAGAGCAGACTCTAAAGTTCCCCCCTCCACGCAAAAAGACCACGGGTGACACAACCACATCGCGAACCTAAAGGTCGCTAGGCAAACCAGGAACACCGCACAAATCGACTTGCAATAGGCAGACTCGTGCTATGAGCCGTGGCCTGAACAACTAATCTACAATGCATCTGCGACAGGAGGGAGGAGGGATGAGGACGAAGGAAAGTAGCAAAACCTAGATGCTCTGATGCATCCTCTCTGCGCGGCGCCAGGGCGCTGCAAGGTGAAGGCGTGCTTTCCCTTCGCTGGAATGCTTTCCTTTGCTGATCTCCCGCGCCCTCGCCCGTTCAACAAACGAGGTCCTCGTTTTAGGTCAGTCTGTTTCCTGTTGCCTTGCGCTCTGCGCGACGTGCGCTGGCTGAAGTGCGCAGTCTTGTCTTTTCTGTGTTCTCCCAGAGGGCTCCAAGAGGCTCCCCCAAGAGGCTTTCTTTTCCTCCTCCTCCTCCTCCTCCTTCTGCCTTTCCTCCCCCTCCTCCTCCTCCTCCTCCTCCTTCTTCTCCTCCCTCTCCGCATCCTCTGTCTTCCTCCCCTGTGTTCCCCCGATGGCCACCCCAACGGCTGGGGGGAACACGCGGCCCAACAGCCTTGCCGAGCGCCGGCCCAGCGCCTGGCCACATCGGCATCTCCACAAAGGCGGGGGGTTCATGCGGGCCAGGCGTACGAAAGAGTTCCGGGAGCGCCGACGGTTCGAGCTGCGGCTGGAGGCGCGCGCCTCGCGAACGTTGCGGAAATATGGTTATTGTGAAGCGGACTTGTGGACCGCAGACGAGTCGCGCGCGGCAGAAAGATTGCTGGGCCGTCCGAATGCCGTCCGCGCGGCGCAGGCCGAGCAGCTCCGAGCGAGCAGAGTGGTGGATGACGCCACTTGGCGGCGGTGACTTGCCGCAAGTGGGGGGAGCACGAGGTACCGATACTGCACTCCCCGGACCTCTCCCGAGGCGCGTTCTGACCAGGATCTCGAGGCGAATTCGGTCGGGGCGGCGAGGGAAGGGCAGCGGCATCGGCATCGCATCCTCTTCTGGGCAGGCGTCCTCGTTCTTTTTGCTGGCCCGCATCTTTTTGTGAATTTTGCTTTTCTGTTTGTCTTCTGAGCCCGCAGGCGTCGGCTCATTACACGCAGGAGCGGCCCTGGGCAAGAGTGTCTTTTGATGCGCGGCTTCAGGGGGCCGCGGTGAGGCCAAATCCGAACGCACACGCCAATGCTGGGGGGACCCCGGTGGGCCCTCCGCACGCACTTGTCGGCACACCCCTCACACGCTTCGTGGCCCCATAGGGAGCTCCACCGAATGCCCCAATGGCTGCGTCCCCATGTGCCCCAGGCTCACATTTCGGCACACCATTCGCGCGTTTCGTGGCCCCATCGGGAGCTCCCCAACGGCCCCAGTGGTTACGTCCCCATAAAAAGATCACTCCAGCGAATGGTTACGCTGACGCGCAGCCGACTGCCCGCTTTCTACAGCGCGGCGCGCGCCTGGTCGAACAGCTCGCGGTCGCTCGGCTGCCACGCTCCTCGGAGGGCGGGCTGCGCCGCGGCCATCGCGGCGGCGCGTCCGCGCGGAAAACGGTGGCGCGGCAGGCCGTGATACACCTCTCTCTCGGGTGCCCCTAGGGCCATATGCCAGCGCCTTGGTGAATTAGAAGAAGACGACGACGACGACGACTATGACGACGACTACAACGACTACTACTACTACACCAACAACAACTGCTACTGCTACTGCTTCTGCTACTGCTACTGCTACTGCTACTGCTACTGCTACTGCTACTACTGCTGCTACTACTACTACTACTACTACTACTACTACTACTACTACTACTACTACTACTACGACTATTAGTACTACTACGGCGACTACTACGACGACTACTTCTTCTTCTTCTTCTACGAATACTACTACTATTACGACAACTACTAGTACTACTACTACAACTGCTACTATTACTGCTAATTGCTACTATTGTTTCCCCTACTCCTACTCCTACTCCTACTGCTGCTGCTACTACTACCACTTCTACTACTGGTACTACTACTACTACTACCACTACTGCTACTACTACTACTTCTACTACTTCTACTACTACTACTACTACGACGACGACGACGACCACGACGACTACTACTACTACTACTACCACTATTTGTACGACTACAACTGGTACTTGTGCTACTACGACTACTACTACTACTACTACTACTACTACTACTACTACTACTACTACTACTACTACTACTACTACTACTACTACTACTACTACACTACTACTACTACTACTACTACTACTACTACTACTACTACTACTACTACTACTACTACTACTACTACTACTACTACTACTACTACTACTACTACTACTACTACTACTACTACTACGGCTACAAATATGAATCCGACTACGACTACGACTGCGAATGCGACTGCTACTACGATTGCAACTACGACTATGACTGTGACCACGACTACGATTGCGACTACAACGACGACGACTACTGCTACCATTACTGCTGCTACTACTACTGCTGCTGTTATTCCCACTCGTACTCTATCGACTACTACTGCTGCTGCTACTACTACTACTACAGCGACAACAACAACAACAACAACAACTACTACTACTACTACTACTACTACTACTAATACTACTACTACGACTATTACTCTGACTACTACTACTACCACCACTACTACTGCCACTGCTACTGCTACTGCTACTGCTACTGCTACTGCTACTACTACTACTACTACTACTCTACTACTACTACTACTACTACTACTACTACTACTACTACTACTACTACTACTACTACTACTACTACTACTACTACAACTACAACTACTACTACTACTACTACTACTACTACTACTACGACTAAGACTACGACTGATACTAATAAGAAGAAGACTACGAATAATAAAACGCGGCAGCGTAATAAAACATCGGCTGTCCGCGCGGATTTCTTTGATCTGCGCTAGACCGTCCAGAGCAGATCCAAGACATCAGCGCGGACCGTCTAAACTTTCTGGTCATGCAACTTTCCTTCGTCGATGAATGTGTGTTTGGGGTTGGAGCCAGCTGGGGGGCTGAGATGGCCCAGCACTGGTTCTGACCAGCAAGGAGGTGGGAAGAAGGGGCTCCCCTCGTCGTGACGGCTGGACGTGGCTCGAAAAAACTTGTCAGTTTCGGCCCCAGGAGGGGACCTCCGAACCCCCAATGACCTCACCGCACGGTCCGTAACCTCACCTGTTTGGGATCCTGGAAACGCCCAGGTCGCCCGACACGTCCTCGGAGAACGGCCCAAGTCCCAAGACCGTGCGGTCACCCCGAATCCCCACCGACTCACCACACGGGGTGGTGACTGCCTCGTTTGGGGGCCCCCGAAGAAGGCCTCTCGGGCATCGGGCGGGAACCGGTATCCGCCAAAGCCTGGGAGGAACCTGGGCCTGTGGAGGCCCGGCGGTGAGGAATTTTTTCCACAGCGCAATGCGTTGGAGCCGGGGAAGGGAGGGGCAGGGACCTCGCAACGCACCGCCTCACACCGCCTGCCAGGCCCGATACGAAAAGCGCTGGGCTCGCACGGCGAGGCAATTGCGAATAAGCGCAGCGAGGCCCCAGAACGCCAAAAATGGGTTGCGAGTTAGGCGGTCGTCCTCTGGCAAAAGGACATACTCACCGCCGGGAGGCCAGGCGGAGAGTGGGACTACTTCCCGGACGCCTGCTTGTGTCCGAAGGTCTCGAGGCTGGTCCTCGAGGAAGCGAACAGACAGGGAGACAGGGCAGGAGAGGGGAGGTGGAGGTTGAGGCCGAGGAAGGGCGACAAAGGCTGAGGCGGTGTACGGTGGGTCCCTGGTGTGACGACCCTGGCGATGGCTTCGGGCACCGCACGGATGGTCGAACCTTGAACGATCGGCGCCTTTCTGATCGCCAGATCGTCCCATATTGGCCGATTCTGGGCCACGCCCGCGGCAGGGTCGCCGCCGCTTCGACACGACGCGAATCGTGGGCGGAAAACGTATCCGTATCCACGGCCTCGCGAGCCAGGCCGCTGGGCCACGGGATTGCGCCTCGGACGGGCCGAAGAACAGCGCAAGCGGTTGCAGCTGGCCCCCTCTCCCAGGCCTCACCCCACGCCGACGCCTGCACCTACCATCTGGCACGCGACGGGGTCCAGCGCCGATGCGAGACATCCGCGAGGACCTCCGAGTTTTTTCATGTTTATGTCATTGCTCGCTTCCCTGTGTCTGGCTCTTGATCGATCGACCTCGCACGGCTTCTCGGAGCGCTCCTGCGCCTGCTGTTAGGTCGAACGTATCCCCCTACAGGCGGAACTTGGGCGACAAATTGGAATGGTCAAACGGTGCCCAAGCATGTGCAGAAATGATAGCAGAATGGCCCCCGGACCATTGCGTGGCCATTCTCTTGCATACTCCTCCTGTAGAGGGACGGGCCCGACTTGAGCCTGCTGCCCGGCCCGCGGCCCGCCCAGGGCCCGCTCCCCGCGGGGCCTGGGCCCTCGTGGCGTGGAGGCCTCCGGATGGACAGGAGGACCTGCGGCTGCTCCTGCCGGGGGGGCGCGGGCGTGGGAGCCCGGGGGTGGCCGGGCACGCGCTGCAGGCCGAGCTGATGGTGAGGATGCACGGGGAGGTGAGAGGGCACCGGGTCAGGATCCCTGACCTCCTCCTCCTCCTCCTCCTCCTCCTCCTCCTCCTCCCTCCTCCTCCTCCTCCCCCTCCTCCTCCTCCTCCTCCTCCTCCTCCTCCTCCTCCTCCTCCTCCTCCTCCTCCTCCTCTGGAGGATGAGGAATCCAGGGTCTGGAGGAACCCTTGCATATAAGGGACCCTCAAATGTAAGGAGCCCCACAAATTCTTAAGGAACCCTTTCTCACTTCGAGGGCCGAGACCCGTGCCCATGCATAGGATTCGAGAGGCGCGCCCCGCCCCAGCCACCGAGGACGCGATGATCTCCGCACCTGGCGTTGGCTGGGGTCCACCGCTCGCGATCGGGCGGCCTCCGCGAACTCATCTCGGACCCTTAAAGAAGGAATCCAGGGTCTGGAAGCCGGTGAAACTGCGATCGTGGATCGGCCATGGATAACAATGCCGCCCTCATCAGATAAGGAATCCCCCAGGGTCTGAAGCCTCCTGGGCCCATTCCTGAACGAATGCCTCCACCGTGAGGATGCAGGGGCCTCGGAAGGCCTTGCCGACACTTTTCGGGCGGGGCGTGGCCAACGAAAGTGGCCAAGGATGAGCCGAAGGGAAAGGATGCAACGGAAACCTTGGGAAGCCGCTCATCCTTACTATACATGTTGGCTGTAGACTGGGTCAGGGATCCGTGGATCTGGCGTGTGGGCGCCAGATCTACGGATCGGGCAAGGCCACCCCTAAAACAGGAAACCAACGCTGCCTGTCGCTGATCCACTCGCCTTCAAGCGTGGAAACGGGCCCTGCCGCTGATCCACCCGCCTTCATCCATGTCCGAATTTCGTCGAGTTTGGCCAGCGGATGGGCTGCTCCGGATGCCGCTGAGTCCCCCAAACACTGCACCCGCAGGTCTCCGAAGATACATTTTTGCAAGGTCTGGGCGTCTTCCCTAAATTTTGGCCTCTGGGGCCCGTGGTCGTGCGGGCACTGGGACCGTCAAGAATGGACACGGGACCTCTGCGGTCGCGCATTGAAGCAATCCCATCGGAAGTCTGGGCCTCTTGAGTGGGGCAACTTTTGCTTCCGCCGGCTTCTGCCAACAGAACAATCCCCGTTCTGCCTCCACCGGCTTCCGTCACCCTCCGCCAAGGGCGAGACGACAACTCCTAGGCTCCTCGAAGTCGAAGTCACTTTGGGTCCATCCAGAAACGTGGGATGCTGCACTTTGGCGGGCCGCCTCCTCCTCCTGCTGGCAGCAGTCATTTCACGTGACTAACTGCGCGCGCGTCTTCTGTATCCGCTCGCTCCGAACTCCGCTACAATTTCACGTGCTGACCCAGCGGCCACTCAGCCTTCCGTGAACAGTCAGACCTCGAGGACTCTGCGCGCATCCATGCCTCGCTATTATCAAGAGCGAGGGGGCCGAACGGTCGTACATACCGTCCCTGGGTGCGTGCCCGAAGTTGAAATCCGTGGTGGGGATTCCTCTTGTCGTCGTCCTGCCCGCGACCCGCCAGCGACCCGCCCGCGACCCGGCCGCGACCCACTCGCGACCCACCTGGGACCCGCCCACACTGCTCTGACGAAAATTCGGCGCCTGCGGCGGGCTCCTTGTGTAAAACATTAAGAATGCAACTCCTGGCGGGTTCACTTCAGCATCGGCGCTGGTATATCTGTGGTCGGAAACTGGCCCAATCCGGTATAATCCAGCTCAATTCTATCTAATCGCGCTCAATCCGGCTTAGGCGGGCATAGTGCTCAACTTAATCGGCGCCCAATCTGGCCTAGTCGGGCGCAGTGCTGGGCTTAATCGGCGCCTCGGCGGGCCTCCTCAAATCTGTTCTCCAGCCTGGCAGACTGTCGACGAACCCAGAACGCCGGCCGCGAGGCACAGCCGCTAAAAGGCACCCCGAGGCTGCAAAACCGCCGAGAACCGATGAGAACGTCCGAAACCCTCGAGCCTCGAACCTGGATCCGCCCCCCCCCCCTCGAGGCCCCTGACGACCCCCTCACTCTCATCGCTCGGCGGCGGCGTGGGGCCCAGGAAGGCCGAGCCCGGGGCCGGCGTCGGCGGCCCGGTCCTTTCACTCCTCCTCCTCCTCGTCGTCCTCCTCCTCTTCCGCCGCCAAAGTGTCCGGCAGCGGTGGTCTGACGTCTCCGCGGAGGCGATCGCGTGGAGCGGGCCGCGGACGCCCCGCCGCCGTCGTCAGTCGTCGTCGAGCCGTCGTCGAGCCGTCGTCGAGCCGTCGTCGAGTCATCGACACCGTCGTCGAACCGTCGTCGTGGGTCGACGTTGTCCCCAGCAGCTGCCGGTCCGCTGCCCGACCTCTTGCTCTACACGCAGCCTTGGCATCCTCGCCATCTGGCGGCCCTCGCCCCTCCCCCTCCCCCCTTTCGTCTTCCAAACTCATCCCTCTCCCAGCCCCCTCGCTCATTCTTGATTTCCCTCTCTCTATGCATCTATACATATATATATATGTGCATATACTCACATCTCTATGTCTGTCTGACAGGCTGTCTGTCTATCGGTCTGTCTGTCTGCATGTATGACGGTGTGTATGTCTCTATGCATGCATGCATGCATGTCTGTCTGTCTGTCTGTCTGTCTGTCTGTCTGTCTGTCTGTCTGTTTATGTCTCTGTCTGTCTGTATGACTCTATGACTGTATATCTGCATGTCTGTATGCGTGTATGCCTGTGTGTCTGCATGGCTGTATGTCTGTATGTATGCATGCCTACATATATATGTGTACGTAAATGGTTGTATGCCTATTTGCGTAGGTATGCATGCCTATCTGTTTCTATGCATGCATGCATACATGTCGGTATGCATGCAAGTGTGTGCATGCATACATACATACATGCATGCATGTCTGTCTGCCTGTCTATCTGTCTGTCTGTCGGTCTGTATGTTTGTATGTATGTAGGTAGGTATGTATGTATGTGTGTATATGCATGCATGCATGCGTGCAGATATGCACATATGTACGTATGTATGTATGTACATATATATATATATATATATATATATATATGAATTTACACATACACACATGTATGTATGTATGTATGTATGTATGTATGTATGTATGTATGTATGTACGTATGTATGTTTGCATATACGTATGACTGTCTGTATGTATGTATGTATGTATGTAAGCATGTATGAAGGTATGAATGTATGTATTCAGTCATGTATGCATATTTGCATGTATGCACGTCGGAGGTTGGGGGTGATATCGCAGCGTAACGGAGTCCCCCCGCCGGGAAATCGAGTTTCGTGTTCGTGCTCGTGCCGTGCGTGCGGGCGAGGCGAAGCTGCGTGGGCCAGCGAGAGGAATTCACCCTGCTGTCGCTAGGGGTCCGCCAACACAAATGTTTCCCCCCCCGGCCTTGTCAAGCGGTAGCCCACGTTGTCCCGTCGGTTGTCCCGTCGGTTGCCCGCCGGTAGCCCACGTTGTCCCGTCGGTTGCCCGTCGGTGCACCCATCCTCGACTGGGGCGTCGTGGGCTGAGTGCCGCGTCGCGCAGCGGCAAAACGAACGACACAAGTCGCCCAAGCGAAGGAACAACAAAAAATCCGCCACGTCATCCACACCATCATCGCCCAACAACACCACGTTCATCACAGTTGTCGTCATGAGCCACCCCCCTCCCCCCACCCCCCCACAACCTCCTTATCACCCGCAGGGTGGTCGTATAGGTATGTGTACGTCTCTCCTTGCCACAGTCTTTTCTGACGCAGCTAGAGGGACTAGCCCAGATAGTTAACAAGGACCCTCAAGGTGCCAGAGCTGGTGATACACAGCTCCGCGACGCCTTCAAGACCAGGAGACGGGACCCCAGGTCGCCCAGGTCGAGCGAGAGAATGGGACCCCCCCGGGACGCAACCCATACCCTCAGGAGCGCTCTCCAGAGTGGCGTGGGGCATCGCTCCCGAGGCCCCCCCCCCAAAGCACGGAGACCACCCTCTGGCGCAAACCGTGGGCCTGTAGCTCTTACACTCGCAACGCGGGTGACACAAACTCCAGGCTACGACGCGGGTGGTGGCCAAGATGACTGCGGACGACCCTTCAGGTCGGCTGGCCAGAACTCTTGGGGACCTCTGGGAACAGAACCCACTCGGAGAGATGACATGTGTACCCCCTCACCTTAAGCTTTTCTGGCGCAGCCAGAGGGACAAGCCCAGATATCCAACAAGGACCCTCAAGGTGCCAGAGCTGGCGATACAGCTCCGCGACGCCTTCAAGACCAGGAGATGGAGCAGACACTCTCGCCCAGGTCGAGCGCGAAAATGGTATCCCCGCCGTGGCGCGCCCCATGCCCTCAGGATCGCCCTCCAGAGTGTCGTGGGGGATCGCGCCCGAGGGCGCTGAGCGGCAGAGGGGGTATCCCCTCGCGGCCCCCCTCCAACAGCACGGAGATCACCCTCTGGCGTGAACCTTGGGCCTGTAGCTCTTCCACGGGCACCTACTCTGCCCGAGCGGATCATCCTGGATGGGCGACCTATGCAGCGCCTGCCCCCTCCCAAGACGGCTTCCGGCGGCGTCAAACGGGCAAGGAACGCCGTAAGACGGCCAAACAGTGGCCCCCAAGAAACCACCAAAAGCTCCCAAGAAACCCAACGAGGCCACTGAGAGGCCTCCAAGAGGCCCCCGGGAAGATTTCAGGAGGCCCCACGCATGACCCACGAAGTCTCCGTATCCTTCTCCTCATCCTCGGTTTTCGTCACTCTCCTCATTCTCCTCTCCCCCCTCCCACGTGTTTCCCGAAAGGCTTCCACAACGGCTGGGGGAACGCATGGTCCAATAGCGGTGCCAGACTTTGTCCAAACGTTTGGTCACATAGGCGCATCCTGAAAGGCCGGGGGCGGCGGTGATTCGCCGTAAGCGTCTTCGATCCTCCGCTCCCTGTTGGTTCATCCAAGGAGTGCAAGGAGTGTCTGGTGTTTCTTTGTACTAGTTTGGACCTTTTCTTCCCGCTCAAGACTGTCCCAAGATGTCCTCCAAGACGACCAAGATGGCCTCAAAAGAGCCTAATATGGTCTCAAGATGGATTCAATATGTCTCCAGGACGGCCCATGATGCACCTCAGGCGGCCCCCAAAGGTCCCAATGTCCCAAGAGGCCTCCAAAACGCCCCAAGAGGGTTCCAAACGGTACGCCATGAGGCCAGACTCATTGATTTTCCTTGGGTGTTTCAGCGATGCTAGCTAATATTCTCGCCTTTTCGGGCTTCCGCTTTTCTAAGACGGCCCCATGGCCCCAAAGATCGCTCCAAGACGGCCCCACATACCTCCCAGACGGCTTTCCAGCACCCAAAGAGGGACCCAAGACTGCCCAGAAAGGCTCCGAGTACGGCCGCTGAAGGCCAAGAGGGCCATCAGAGCCCCCCGCATGCCTCCAAGAGGCCCACACAGGCCCCAGGAGGCCCCAACGAGGCCCCAGGAAGCCCCCAAGAGGCGATTCCGAGGCCCCCGAGAAGCTCCCAGGAAGCCCCCAGGAAACTGCAACACGACCTCAAGAGGCTCCCTTTTCCTCCTTCTCCTCCTTCTCCTCCCCTCCTCCTCCTTCTCTACCACGTCCTTATTCTTTTCCCTCTCGGCGTCCCTTCTCTTTCTTTCTCATGTGTTCCTCCAAGATTGTCCACAACGGCTCGGGAATTCGATAGCTCCGCCAGACTACGTTTGGCCGCATGGGCGTTTCCAAAAAGCAGGGGACGGCGGTGATTCGCCGTAGGCATCTTCGATCCGCCGCCTCCTGTTGATTAAAGAAGGGGAAGGGGTGCCTGGCGTGCCACATGTTCCAATGTTTTCGGAATTGTTTTGGTGAAATTCTTACCGGCCCAACCCGCTGGCCAACCGGAGAGACGCGCCAAATAGGTTTGCACAAATCGCCTCCAAGACGGGCGGACCGGCCCAACATGGCCTTCAAAATGCATCCAAGACGGCCAAGGTGGCCTCCAAGACTGCCCTAAACGCCTCCAAGACGGCCGCAGTGGCCCCAACACGGCCCAAGATGTCCTCCTGACGCCCAAGATGCCCCCAAGACGCCCCAAGAGTACTCCAGCAAGAATACCGGCGACAAACTCATTGATTCTCCTTGAACTGTGACCGCTTCCCTCAAGCCACCTCATCTGGTTCATCCAGCTTCCCCAGCCCCGCCTCTCCCCTCATCCACTTCTCCCTCCTTCCCCATCGTTGATTTTCGTTGGGTTGCGACCCGCTTCCCTCAGAACCCGTTCCTTCGTGGCGATCAGCTCCCCCCTCCGCCCCCCGCCTTTTTCGGGAGCGAGCGGCGACAGCGCGGCGCCGCGTGTGCCTCCCGCCCGCTCGGCCGCCCCAGACTTTTTCAGGCGGCCGAGGAGCGGGGCTCCAAGGGAAGAGGAACACCGGAGGATGATGGGGGAGGCAGCTGAAGGGGAGGAGAAGTGGAAGATAAGGCGGAGGAGGAGGATGAGGAGGAGGAGGAGGATGAAGAGGATGAAGAGGAGGACGAACTAGAGATGTGGGGGTTGGGAGCGAGAAGGAAAAGCTGGCAGCAATCAGTTATAAATGTTACGTTTCCTTGTCAATAAAGAATGCAATCGCTTGGGCGCTTGAGCCCAGATAGCGGCGGGGCGTCCTATTCGAGTCGGGATTGTGGGGGCGATCGAACAGCTCGGGCGGAGCGAAAGAACCGAGAAAAACGGAAAACCATAACCATCCCCCCCCCGCGCAACTCCCCAACCCGTCCTGGATACCTGGCCGCCACCTGGGAGGAGGCGCGCTGGGCTGGGCGGGGTGCGCGCCCACTGACTGTGCTCAATGGACACGCGAGTGCTTTTAGGACCAGCACAGGGCAACTCGCCAGAGTAGGTGTGTGAGGCAGACAACCGTGAGCCGTACTTTTGCGTAGACCTCGTGCCGCGGACGAAGTGTCCGAAAGCCTGAGGCCTGGAGACCGGGCTCGGCGAGGGGTGTGGCACCGAGGTCACTGGATGCGAGTGGCCGTGGACTGGTAGGTGGAAGTGGAAAGAGTCGGAGACACCTTGAGCGTGCGGACTACCCGCGCTGCTTCGAGCCGCTCAATCCCGAGCCGCGTCTGGTTCCTCGCCAGCCGCCGCGGTCTCCGCGGTGTGCGGGGTGGGCGACGCCTTCTCCTCGCTGGTTCCCTGCGCTGCCGTCTTCTTGTGCGATGCAGCGCGGTTCATGTCCCTGGCCTTTTTGGACTTGAGCCTGGCCCGCCGCGCGGGGTCTTCTTGGCGGCCCGCGCGGGGGGCGTGGTTTGGGGCTCGTCCGTTTTCATGCCCTCGTCCGCGTTGGCCCTTGTTGCTCTTGCTGGCCTTGCTGCCCTCGTGCCCTCGCCGAACTTGGCCTGGTGGTACCTGGCCTGTCCGAGGCCCCCTTTGGGGTCCCAAACCTTGGTGGCTCGCCTGAAGCTTGGTGGAGGCTCCAGCTCGCGAGCGTGCGCGCCATGGTCGAAGGAGTGCTGCAAGCGCGCGGCGAACCCTGGTGGTGGGCCAGATGGCTGTGGCGGCCTGCCCTTCGGCTCGGGCGGCCGAGAACGCTGCCGGTGACCCTGGGCTGGGATGACGCCATGCCTGGGACTTCAACACCGCGAATCATCGTAACTGTTGACCCTCATAGTCGCGAATCCTTCCAAAACGCCACTTCTGGTACGTCGACCATGTGAATCCGTGAAAATCTGGCCATAAAAAAAAATGTGCGCGGCGCTAAGGCGAGAACCACATTTTGAAAAGGAACCGTCTTCAATCAGTGAAACTTTTGCAGTTTTTTTAACGAATGTGCGTGGCGCTAAAGCGAGAACCACATTTTGAAAGAGAGCCGCCTTCCATCCGTGAGGCTCTTTCAATGTTTCTAAACGAATGTGCCTGGCGCTAAGGCGAGAGGCGCATTCAAAAAAAACGACCCGCCCTCAATCCGTGAAACTCTTGCAAGTGTTTGAAACGAATGTGCGCGGCGGTAAAGCGACAACCACATTTTGGCCCCCCCCGCACTCAACCCGTGAAGCTCTTATACTTTTTCAAAACGAATGTGCGCGGCGCCAAAGCGAGAACCACATTTTGAAAACCACCCGCCCTCAATTCGTGAAGCTCTTGCAATTTCTAATGCTTCATGGTCATAAATGGTGAGGAAGTCTCAGGCGAAACGCCCGGACCGCCCTAAAAACTTGCCTCGGGGTGCGACAGGGAAGAATTATTGATAAAGAGAAGAAATGGAAGAGGAGGAGGAGGAGGAGGAGGAGGAGGAAGAGGAGGAGGAGGAGGAGGAGGAGGAGGAGGAGGAGGAGGACGACCCCGTGGCTCATCATGGCGCCGTCGAGCCCTGGCGCGCGCGGCGCGGGTACGCCGAGCGCCCCGGCGGCGCTTCGGCGGGGGGCCTCGGGGACAGCTGGCCCGCGCCGCGGCCGATGAGGCCGAGCTGCGCCTGCTGGCGCACCCCCCGGAGGGGGGCCAAGGTCGGGTCGGGCCAAAGGGGGAGACATGAATGGGGCCCAGGGACACACAAACAAATCGATACAAGTCCCAGGATTCCCCTACGTAGCACCCCGCAATTGCGGAAAAGAGTGAGGGGGCGGGCGCGGGCGACGCGGGCGTCGTCGAGCCGGCGGACCTCGTGGCCCCCACCTTCCCTGTCGATGGCGCTCTCCTCCTCCTCCTCCTCTTCCTCCTCCTCCTCCTCCTCCTCCTCCTCTTCCTCGTCCTCGTCCTCGTCCTCATCGTCATCGTCGTCCTCCTCTTCTTCCTCGTCCTCCCTCTCCCCCCCTCGTCCTTCCATCATCGTCCTCCCATTGTCGTCCTCCCCCTCATCGGCCTCCATCATCGTCCTCCCATTGTCGTCCATCATCCTCCTCCTCCCCTCCTCCCCCTCCTCGTCCTCTTCCTTCCCCTCCTCCCCCTCCTCCCCCTCCTCGTCCTCCTGCTCCGCTATTTCCGCTATTTGCCGCGGCATGAGGGTGCTCCCTGCGCCGCATCGGGGGCGCCGTTGCGCCCATGCCTGGCCGCGCGCGCGGCCGACACGCTGGCGCCCTCGGCGCTGGGGGGGGGGCCCGCCCAGGGAGAGAGGAAGGAGGCCTCCCAGATGACGGGGCGGAGGAGAAGCGGGGGGGGCGAGGCCTAGGCAAGCCTGCGAGCCAGGTGGCAGTCCGAAGGCCTCCGAGAGAAGGGGAGGAAGGGCAACGAAGGGATACGCAGGGAAGGAAAAGGGAGGAGCCTCGGACTGCCTCGAGATGCCGAATTGGGATGTGGCCCGTCGCGCTGCCGCCCAGGATATCCGCCCCTGTCCAGCAGCTTATCCTTGCCTGGGCGGCAGCGCACAGGCGCTGGGACCAGGTGGGCAGAAGGCCCACCTGGTGTACCTCCCCCTAACCCCTCCAGAGCCAGAAGGCCTACGGTGAAGGATCCCTGGGTCAGGCCTGGGTGAGAGCGATCTGGGGGTAAGGGGGAGGCACCAAATTACGGTCCCTAGGGGCCCCGTTGTCGCGGCCCCTTCAGGCGCCGTCGGCGGCTCACGAGCCCCGAGCTCCGCGCCCTCTCAGAACTCGCCGTTCTGGTGGTCCTACCCTGGCTCTTGTCGAGGACGGTGTTGGCGGCCCACTCCCTCGCCTCGTCAGCGAGGTCGGGGAAGCCCTCCTCCTCGATGGACACGTCGGTAGTCCACACCTTGAGGTACTGCCTGATTATGTTGCCCTCGATCTCGTGATACTCGACTCAGCCGTGCTGGTCGAGGTAACTCTGGTTGACTCAGCAGTGACCAACCCCGACGACTCGGCCTCCTCTCTGGGCCACTTCGGTGGTCGTTGGTCTTGTAGTAGAGCGTAGTACTGTCGCCCTCGAGCTTGTGATACTCGACTCAGTCATGCTGGTCGCAATTGTTGTCGACTCTGCTCTGCCCATCCGTGTGGCCCTCGTACCAGTCATGTATTGGACCCAGGCTCCTGGTACTCGTCTCAGCCGATGAGGTACTTGTCGTGCTGGTTAGAGGTCGTTGGGGGTCGGCTTGTTGCTGGTAGGTGGAATAGATTGTGGGCGCACTCAGGCCTCCATGCACCGACTTCAAGTAGGGTTCATGGCGGCCCTACCTCGTCCCGCTATGGCTAGGGGTCACAGTGCCCTCGGTGGGGGCGAACCCCAGGCCCAGTGATTCTTCTGCTGTCGATGAGGAAGGTCAACGCTGCCCTATGCTTCGCCCTTGGGCGCTCGGGAGCTCCATCTCCGCCATGGGAATGGTGGGGGTGGCGAGCTAGGGCGGACCGCGGGGGCGCGGGCAGTGCTCGTCCTGCCCCCCCCCTGCCCCTCACCATCCCCCCTGGTAGACGCGGGCAGTCCTCGTCCTGCCCCCCCGCCCTTCGAGCCCGTCTCGAAGTTTGATCCTTGCCTCACCAGGGCAGCGTTGACTCGTACTTGGTGCAGTTGGGGATCTGGCTGGTACCTCTGAGCCCTGGCTGAACGGCGGCCGTGTCCGTCACTGCTGCAAAACGTGGCGACGTGTGCCTGGGGTGTTCCCTCGCATTCGGGGCTTCCCCAAGACTTGCGTCCTGACGACTTGTGCAAAACTTGGCGACGTAGCCTGAGGTATTCCCTCGCGCTCGGGGCTTCCTCAGGACTTGCGTTCTGATCCTTTTGTACTTGTCGTCAGGGCACTTCGTCGCGATCCGCGTCGTCAGCCTGTGCCCGAACAGCTCCTGTCGAGTTGGTGGTCCTGTCCATTGCCTTGTCGGGTCGGTCCTGCAGGGCCCACTCCCTTGCCTCTTCCAACCAGGTCGGTGGGCCCCCTCGCCTCGCTGGGCCACGATGGTAGTCCTGACCCATCTCCCTGGTCTTGTAGCGGTCGAGCGGCTGGAAGAAGTGGGCCACGTCGTCGTCGATGTGCCACCCGTGGACGTCGCTAGGCGACTCGCCAAAGCGCCACCTTATCTGCTTCGCCAGTGCGGTCGCGATGGCCTGGCACATCCTGTTCGGGTACTCCTTGGCCGCCGCGGTGCGCCACTGGCCGTCGTCGTTGATGCCTGCCAGCTCCGCATGGTAGGAGGCCGTGTGAAAGCACCTCCCGCCTCCAGGCAATCTGCTGATTTCTGCTGGGAGGGTTGGTAGGGATACCGCCAGCAGGCTTGTGGACTTCCTCGAACGCGCTCCACAGGTGCACTGGTCGAATGTGATCAGCTCGACTCCCTGCTGGTTCAGGAGGTGGCGCGTCTCGGGGAGCTTCCAGGAGCTGGCGAAGTGCTCCTCGGTGGGCTCGCACGGGTGCTCGAGCATGCCTGGGACTCCAATGTTGAGGCACATGTACATGAGCTCCAGCTGTGTCCTGTAAAGGCGGTTGCCTATCGCTACTTGCTCCATCTCTGGACGGGAAAGGTAGCGAAGGCCCCACAAGCTGTTGCTGCTCCTTAGGGGTCTTGGTGGGCGACCCCTGCAGTCATTGGGGGGCAGGTGGCGCGCTCGGCTCCAGGTCTCGCACGGTGGTCCGCCGATGACTCCTGCAATCCTCCCTGCTTGTGCCATGTCTCGCCACTTGCTGACTGCGACTTCTGAAGTCAGGTCGCCGAAGGTCGGGTCGTTGGCGATGTCCAGGCTGAGCATGTGTATGTCGCAGGAAGCCCGACTGCTGAGACGGTCGAACCAATCCTGAACATCTCCCTCTCGGCGACGGCCGCTGAATAAATGCAGCACGTATAGCGTCCGAGCTGGCCTGGGCCTGGGTACAGCAGCTGGCGGCGGTGGTGGCTCCTCGATGAAGGGGAGCTCTAGGCTCTCGTAGTGGCCGCCGTTGCTGTCGTCGCTGTCCTCGTCCGTATGTATTTCTGGAGGACGAGCAGGGACTGCAGGCTTCTCTGCCCAGTCGATGGGCCTGCCCGCCCTTCTGTTCGCCTGCTGCTGGTCGCGCACCACTTGCTGGTTGTGCTGCAGCTCGGCTTTGCTGAGGATTGCTGGACGTGTCTTTCGCCAATGTCGAGCGCACCTGCGCACTCTCAGCAAGTGCTTGACCAGCCTGTTTGTAGTGTGGTAATCCATGCCGCATCCGTAGCAGACCGAACCAATTGCCCACGAGATAGGATGACCCGACGAGGTGTGGTCCTTGGTGATGTGTGCTCGTAGCACTGCTGCGCTGGCTTCAGTACGTCCGCAGCGGTAGCATAGGTACTTGCGCTGCTGCTCAAAGTGCTGGTCTGGGAAGGGCGAGATGGCTTCCGTGTTGGTCCACCGTTGGGGTCGTAGCCGCCATCGAGCTTGGTAGTCGTGATCGTACTGGCGGGCTTTGCCTCGTTGGCAAGCTTTCTTTACTGCGCTGAGGTAGCTTTGGTAGTCGTTCCTGGCCCAGTCCTTCCAGTCCTCGAGCGTGTATGCTCCACCACGATTGTCAGGTCCTGTGTGGTCGCGGACCCAGTCTAAGTCGCGGCGGAGCAGTGCCACCCAGCCGTAACTACCATCCCATGCTTGGCTAAGTAGTCGGCGGAGGTGCAGGGGTCCCCAGTTGAGGCATCTACCACATAGTCGTAGCCGCTCAAGTCGTAGGACTATCTCTGGGGGCAGCTTGTCGACCCCTTCGAGAATCTGGGTGTTCGTGACCTCCTTTTTCTGTCGTGCTTTCCAAGTGATCCTTTGCGCGGCAGCGTAGTTCACGATATACTGGTTGTTGAAATTCCTGGCCTGGCCTGCTGTGAGTTCAGGCCAGGTAGACGCATTGTATAGTAGCTGGGATAGCACCACACTGTCGGCTAGGTAGGCCTTGTCTTTGATGGCCAGCTCTGAGCGTCGGTGGACTTCGCGATGGAGAGGCCTCGTGGATGTCGCTGCAGTGGCTACCTTCACTGCGACATCCACCCAGGGGATGCATTGTCGGTCACGTAGGTCCCGTGGAGCTTGTGGTGACGAACAACCTCGACGTAACTCTCTGCGAGGGGGACCTCGATCCTCGGAACTCCATTGGAATAGAAGCTGGCCCGAGCTTGCCGGCTCCCAGGCCCACTGAAGTCGATCATCACCTTGGTCTTGGTGAGCTGCAGCTGGAGGCCGAAGGTGCTGGCGGCGCAGTAGACGGCTTCGCAGAACCCCGTGGCCTCATACTGAATGTGGTCGGGGCTGGTGAACACGTGCATGCCCGTTAGGTCGTCGACGAACGATAGGCCGTGAGGTTCATGCTCCTGGAGTGGCCCATCTGTGGGGTCGGTGTCGCATGCGAAGCTGCTGTCAAGGGGCTTGCCCTGGGGTCGTAGCCCTCGCTGCGCAAGGTAGCTGTCAATCATGCGGTGGACTCGGCCGAATAGCAGATTGAAGTCCGCGTCGGCCAGGGGCACGCCAGGCCTCGTGCCCTTGTGCGGCGCCATGAGGTTCTGGGAGAACCTGTGTGATGTCCACCTGTTGCGGTAACCTTCTGCAATGAGGGCAGCCAGGTGGGAGCCGTCCAACACTGTGTCGAGTATCCCTGGGTTGGCCATGAGGTGCTCCAGTTGTGGCTGGGCCCACAGGGGAACTTCGAGGTTTTCTAGCACCTCCTTGACCTCGTCCTCCTCGCCTGGGATGCCATGGACCAGCTGGACTACAACCGAGTAGAAGGGCTCCTTTAAGTCGTAGCAGCTAATCATGGAGCACTTCCCTTGGGCCTGACTTCCCTCTGTGAAGAGGCGCGCTGCTAGGACCGCCATGTCTGCCCCTCGCTTGGGCCGGCCGCCAACCTGGATGTCCTCCAGCGCTATGGCGAGGGTAGTGTTGAGCATGGCCCTTAGGTATTTATGGTGGTGCTTGCCCAGGACGTTGTTTAAGAGGATCTCGCGGTAGACTTGGAGGTACCGTGGGTCGCCTTTTCCTTTGGGAATTGCGACCAGGTCCCCACCCTTGAAGCTCAGCGGCTCCCGTACGGTGGTCGCCACCTTGGTGAAGAGGGGGTGCAGTAGCCTTGCTGCCTCTGTAGGGGCCGCCCTGAGGACAGCGTTCGTGAGCCCGTCAGGGCCTCCTTGCGTCCCAGCCTTGGCCGCAGCGAACTGGGCCTGGCAGACGGCCAGGGGCATCACCATCGAGAGATCCAGCATGCCGTCGAAGGGCCTGGTCTTGCTGTCGTGATTGTACTTGTTGGCAAGATCATCCGCTGTCACGATCTTGCCCGCCTGTATCTTCGCGAAATGGTTGAGCTCCTGGTCCGCCATGTCCTGGGAGTTGTGGATCACCTCTCCATCCTTGTCGAGCCGCATCGGCTTTCCTGCTGGGAACTTCGCCTTCCTCCCGCCATACCTTAGTAGGTCGCGGTAGGCCTTCCACTGGGCCGCAGCGTCGTTCGCAGCGGAGGCGGAGGACGCAGTTGAGGCAAGCCGACTGAGGAATGCACTACGGTCCTTCTCGACGGCCGAGGCAACGAAGGGCCCGGACCTGGTGAGGAAGGAAAGGATGGCCATGGCGTAGACCATGGGCGAGATCGTCCAGTTCAGGAGGAGGTGCGCGTAGTCGTGGATGTCGTGGATGGTGCCATCGTCGTCGCCACGCTCTCTGCTCCACAGGGACAGTGAGTCCCCGACTTCGCTTCCAAGAAGAGAGTGGGCGTGGGCTACTAGTCGTCCAGGTCGGTCGTCATGGGCTTCTCCTCTGAGCAGTGCGCGGTGGACTCGGAGTGTGAGGCGCCTGGCTCGGATTAGGCCCATGGTAGTCTTGGTGACGTAGGGCTTCCTCGCTGCCTTGACGGCCTTGCCGAAGGCCTGGATGGCCGCGTCGTTGACGACCCTGGTGACCTCCTCGCAGTGGGTGTTGACGTCCACCTCCCAGGGGATGATCGGGGCCTGCTTGAGAATCTCCTTGAAGCTGGCCTTGGCGACGTCGTTGTTCAAGTTGGTCAGGTCGGGCCTCGGTCCTGAGGCCTTGGTGGTCTTGCAGACGGCCCACTTGAGGGTGGCGAGTACTGGTATGTGGTCTTGTGCAGCTGTGCCTCGGTCCAGACCTGGCTCCGTGCTGCAGCTCGCAACGTACGGGGCGATCGAGGAGCTCAGCAGGATGTAGTCTATCCTGTGGTGCTGCCCCTTCGATCCGACATGCGTAAATGAGTTGTTGCCTGGATCCCTCGTGGTGTTGATGACCTCCATGTTGGTGTCGGCAGCGAAGCTGATGATGTGCTTGCCATTGCCGTTGGTCGCTTCTGGGTACCCACTGGTGCCAACTCCTGGGGACTCGTAGTCGCCAATACGCCCGTTCAGGTCCCCCATAAAGATGTCCACGCGATACTTGGCAGACAATCGCTGAGCAGACTCCCAGAATTCTCTCTTCTCAGCCGCGTGGGAGTCTTCGTGGGGTGCATATGCTGAGGCGATGACCATGTCTGTGCCTGCAACGCGGGTCTTGATGATCAAGAGCCTGTCGTGCTGGTGGAGGACGAGGGTGTGTTTGGCACTTAGGTACTTCGCTGCCCCACTCGCACTGATTGGCTGGGAGACGTTGAGCCAGATGTCGCATCCTCTGTTCTGCTGCGTGTGGCCTGAGGAGTAGCAAACATATTCTCCTACGTTGCGGACGTCTCCTTCGCTCTGCGTCTCCTGGAGGGCCACGACGTGCAGGCCCATGTCAGCAAACTGTGCTGCTAGGTGCGTGACCTTGGAGAGGCTCTGCTTGCTTTTGCCGGCCGCCTTGCCTTTGCCCGACTTGAAGCTGACGGCGGCCTTGAGTGATCTGCAGTTGTAGGTGCACAAATTCACGTTGAGGTCGGCCTTGATGGTGGTGGTGCTGATGGGCCTCTGGATCGCACCTGGGGCTGCCTGCGGCTGGGTGGCCTCGATGATGAAGTCTTGGTTCCGCAAGGGAGGGTATGCGGACTTGACCGCATCTGGCTCTGAGCGTAACCATTCCCAGGGAAGGAACTTGTTGTGAGCGATCGCCTGCACTGCTGCAATGTTCGGGTCCACCAGGTCGCTGGCCGAAGCTAGATCTGCTATCCCATCTGCGAGCTCGTTCCAAGGGTGCCCAATGTGCGAGTTAATGTGGTGCCACTGGGTAGGTCGGGCTTGTTGGAGGAGGCCAGCAAGCGTGCGAATGGCGGCCCCCAACCTCGGATGTACGTGGCATTGGGCTTCGCCTTTGGCCAGGTTGATAACGTTGAGGGCATCGGGCGTGACCTCGATGGGCGCGGCGGTGTCTTGACCAAGGGCCCACATTAGTGCCCAAAGTACTGCCGTGAGCTCAGCTGTGTATGCCGTCACCTTCTCGTTGTTTGCCATGTCGTCTAGGGACTCGGTGACCTTGCCAGCAATGAAACCCTGAAAACCAAACGGGCCTCGTGAGTTGCGCCCGTCGTCGTACTCGTCGACAATAACTACTGCCCAGGCGGCTGTATGTGGGATGCCGTTGTAGCTGCCGTCCGTGTAGATGTGTGTCCTCCTGGTCGGCAGTTCGCGTGATGGGCAAATCTCCAGCGCCATCCTTGCCATGTTGTGCAGGGTCGTAGTGTCGACGTCGGCGCAGACGTTGACGCGGCCTCGGCCACGAAGGGTCTCGGCTACTGGGTCTTGGCTGAGAACTGGCAGCACTGCAGTTTGGCCTCTTTCTGGTGCTGCCGTGGTGGGGAGCTGCCGTTGTCTTCGGCCACGCCTGGCTCTCTCAGCACTGACGTACTCGGGGGAGTACTCGATGTCGTCGTCTGGCGCCAGTTCCATGCCCTGTAGAGTGGGACCTTGTGTAGTGGTAATGCGGGCTGGAGATTGCTGTGATGTCGCGGAGCAGGTCGGCGGGGCTAGAGATATGGCCCCAGCCTGAGGCGCACTCCGCTTCACGGGTGGTAGTGATGGCATTTGGCTCCCCTCATCGTAGTTCAAGTTGTCCGATCCAGCCCGCGCGGCCTCACTGAACAGGGGCTCGCGTGATTGGGCGTGGAGCATGCTGTCACGTAGACGATAAGGTTCGCCATCCAGGGCGTCTGGGTGATTGGTAGCACCCGTGCCGTGGTGGGAGCGCGCTGATGCCGAGGGGAGCGTTGGCTTCCACCTGTTTGGCCGTGGTGAGCTGTTTGGGTCCGTCGGGACTGGGGCCACTGGTGATGCTGGGTGAGCTGCTGGGTCCGTCGGGTCTGGATCCACCACCAGGGCATGGTACTTGTTGTGGGTGCTGCCGTTGTCCCGACGACTGTGGCTCTCCGCAGCGCGCCGTGCGCGGCGTGCACGCCGCTGGGCTGATCGGAAGGCTGCGACTGCGCGCGCTTGCTTCCGCTCCTCGTAGCATTGCTCCATGCCGTCCTCAGCCTCGCTGCCAGTCGAGTTTTGTCCGTCGAGAAAGGTCCTTTCCACGTTCTCGATCTCGTGGACTCGGATGGCGGAGGGGGACACGCTGAGTGCAAGGGCAGCCGGTAACGCATCCTTGCGGCCATCTTGGTGGCTTGTGACCTGAAGTGCTGACAGATTGGCGGATGCATCACTCCTCCCTGGTAGTGTGCCTCCTTGGTTGCCGCCTAGCGCCCCTCGAGACGCGGCGGGCGGCCCTCGTGTCGGCCGTGGTGGTGTCACGTTGGCCCCTCGAGACCCAGGTGACTGATACCGCTGTTGTTGCTGGCTGCTGCGATTGGGAGTGGCCCTCCCACTGCCAATGCCAGTTGCGGTAGCACGTCTGCTTGGAGTCGTGGCCCCTCGGGACCCTGGACTCCTGGGAGAACCTGATCTGGTGTGTGAGACTGTCGCAATCTCTGCTGGTCTTTTTGTTACTAGACGGCTGTCGCAAATAACCCCAGGGCCCGCCGTGCTTTCAGGCCTCTGGTGGTGGGTAGGTCGAGCATCGTAGTGGAGGACCCCACTGCCGTGCTGCGGGCTTTGGGCCCCAGCTGCTCTCCCCAATGCTGCCCAGGAGATCGATGCTGTCGAACTGATCGGAGAGCGTGAAGAAAGCCCACATCCGTCGTGCTCTGCCCTGTTGGACTCATCGGCCGCCTCCTGGCAGTGAATTCTGTCATGCATGACCTGAAGCCTGGCGGCGCTGCTAGGCCCCCTCCCCCCCTCGGGGGGGTCCAGCGGGCGCTGCTGCTGCCTGCTCCTCGGCTCCAGGAGTTGCAGGAGGGGAGGGGGTTGCTGTGCCCCTTGTCTCGTCCCTCCTGCGGGCCACTCGGCCACGAAAACGTGCTATGCCTGACTCTCCAGAGTCTACCCGCTGACCCTTGTGGGCCTGGCTGATGTCTTCTCCTGGAAATGCGGGCGCGGGTCCAAACGCCTCTTCGAGGGCTGCAGCTGCGGCGGCGGCTGAGGTGTGCTGGCGCGTTAGGATGTCGATGCCCTCGTACTGCCTCTCGATGCTGGCCGCTGCCGCCTCCGCGTTCTGCTGGGATGCAGGGGGAGGGGTCAATACGAAGCTGTCGGCTCCCTCTCCACCTCCATGGCCGCGCTGCTCATCATGCCCGAATGGAACTGTGGGCGTGAGTGACCTCTCGCTGAGTGGCGCTGGCGATGCTGGGATGAAGATCACCTGAGATGCTGTCGGAGTAGGAGGGTCGCCTTGCTCTGCTGGTACCGAGCTAACCCTTGACGTGGATGCCAGGTCTGTGTCTGCCTCGTGCTGCGTGATTCCCCTCATCTCCTCACCCTCCTCGGGTGTGGGGTGATCCTGGCTCCAGGGCGGCCAGCTGGCGGGGTAGATTATCGGCGCATGTTCCGAGCCGTCGTCCTCCGCTTGGGAGTCCTGCGTGCCCACAGTGCCGAACTGGGTCAAGGGGGCCTCCTCGTAGTAGCGCCTTTGGATCTCCTCCGCCTCGTGGTCCCTCACTACGGACTCCAGCTCCTCCTCCATCTGTGCGGCTTCCCATTGTGCTTTCTCCTCAGCATCTTGTCTGCGCAAATCATCTTGTTCGCGCTCGTATCTTTCTGCCTCCTCAAGCGGGTCTGGCCTGTCGGGGCTCCTGGACCTGTCACGCTCTATGAGGGGTACATCGCCTTCGTCGGTCTGGCGGGCTGCTGATCTGGCTGACCTGGTTGATGCTGGCCTCCGAGGCGAGGAGCTGCTCTGCCTACGGCCCCTGTTGGCTGGGCGCTCCTCGGCTGCACCAGTTGGGAGATTGGTCGCAACGGGGGACTCCGCTGGGGCGGTCGCTGCCTCGGCTGCTCCTCTGGTTTTCTCGTGCAGGTCGGCGGCCTCCTGGTAGTCGTCCATGGACTCTTGGGACGTTAGGAGGTGGCCCCCCTTGGACGAGGTGATGAGCTGCCCTCTTGGTGAAGTCGTAGCCCTCCTGCCCGTGTTGCCTCATCTCGGCGTGCAGGCTGACCATGGCCTTGCGTTCACGTTCCCTGCTGGCTGCAATGGCTTCCAGGCTCTGCATTCTCAGCTTTAACTCATCTGTCTCCGACGCGCCCTGCTGCTCCTTCTTTGCGATGGCGTCGAGCTCGGTGTGTAGCGTGCGGGAGCGCTGGAGGCTATCTTGCAGCGCGAGGTGAATGGCCTCCTCCCTGCCCGTCCTCTGCTGGCTGGCAAAGTCTTCCATGGCGGAGGCCTCCTCCATGCTGGCGATCCTGAAGGTGGGGGCTTGGGCGGGCTCCTCCTCCAGCGCCTGCTCCTGCACCTCTGCGTTGGGCCTTTGCTCGCTCAGCTGCACCGCGTAGCTGCTCAGTTCCTGTCGCAGGCTCTCTGTGTGCAGCTGCAAGTCATGTGCGTTCGCTTCTTCTATCATGACTTGGCGGGTGAGACTTGACCTTATTCGCTCAGCACTGCCTTCGAGCTCTGCCCGCATTGCCTCCCTGTCCTTCAGGCTGGCCTTCGCAATCTCCTCCTCCTCTGCCCTCGTCCTTAGCAGGGCGAACTGCAATGCCTGCACCTCGTGCGGGATCTGCCGCTCCTCGTTGGTGCTTCTCAGCTCCGCTGCTTCGTGGTGTGCAACCTGTACTGCACGCTGCGCAGCGCCCGCCTCAAGCTTGGAGTACTGCTGGAGCTCGTGTATGCGGGCTTCAGCTGCCTCGAGCTCGCTTTTGGTCTGCTTGAGCCGATCCTGCTGCCGTGCTGCTGTCTGGGCGATCCCTTGCAGCCTGGCCGCTTCTGCCGGCGGGAGGGCCCCTTTTCCCTTGGCATTGGCAACCACTTGGGCCTGGGCAATTGCCTGGGCCCTGGCTGATTCGGCGGCAGCTTCAAGCTCGAGGGCGTGGTTCTTTTTGGCCTCCTGGAGCTTCTCTTCCATGACCAGCTCCTGCCTGGTGAGCTGCTGCTTGAGAGTGCCCGCTGCAGCTGTCGCTTGGGCGCTCTCGTGCTGGGCCTGTCGCACTGCCTCTTGTGCCTCGGCTCTTGCCCGCAGCAGGTCTTGGTAGACCCTGTCCTGGGGCTGCGGCTGCGCTCGGTGCTCCGCTCGGGCATGCTCAAGCTGCTCTTGCAGGTGATTTGCACGCTGGGTCGCCGCTTCGGCCTCTGCCTTGGCTTGACTGAAGGCTGCGTCATGGCTGATTATCCTGGCCTCCATCTGCGTCGCGAACTCGAGCTGCTCGGCTTGTTGCTTCTTGATCTCGTGGCGGAGAGCCTTGTGTTGCTGCTTCTGCTGCTGCTGCTGGGCTGCGCTCTCCGCTGCGGTGATGCGCTGCAGCTGCTCTGACTCCTCCTTGAGTGCCAGCCTGAGCTTCGCCTGCTCGGCGTTGTGGCGGAGTGCCTGCTCTCGGGCGACCCTCCTGACTTCCGCCAGCTCGGCAGCAAACTCCTGCTCGGCTTCGGCATGGCGCTGCTGCTGGTGGGCCCGCTCCGCATTCGCCTTAGCCACCTGATCGGCGAAGCCTCTGGTTGCGCTGCCTGCCGAGCTGGCTCTTGAGCGTGGCGAGCGCCCCACCACTCCCGCTGGCCAAGCTGGAAATCCGTCACCAGGTGCTTCGCTGTTCAGGCGCCTATCGATCACGGCCTTGTGGAAGGCACCCCAGCTCGGCGCCAAGCCAAACCCGTCCGTGTCCCAGTCGCCCTCGTCGTCCGCCGCGCCGCCGTCGGCGAGCACGGCCCGCGCGTCGGCGATGTTGGACTCGAGCTGCCTCAACTCCTGCTGCTTGGCCTTGAGGTCGTCCCGCAGCTCGTTCGTCTTGGCCTCGAGGGCGATGACTTCGAGTTTGACGGCCTTGCGCCTCTTGCTGAGCACCTGCAGCTGGTCATTCGGCCTCCTCGTGACCAGCTTCTGGTATTTGATGACCGAGATGTCCATCAACTGCTCCTTCGTGCTGTCGCCCGCGGCCTGCTTGGCGACGACCAGGTCGCCGAGCTTCCTCAGCCTCTGGTCAGCGCTGCTCAGAAACTTCTGGATGCCTGCGCGGTCGGCTGGGGGCGCCTGCCACTTTGGGTGGGAGGTGGCCTCGTCCAGCGTGCAGGCTGCCACAGAGTCAATGACTTTTTGAGCCCTCTGGTCCGCTTTGCTGGAGCTGGCCTGGCCGCCTTTGCCCGCCCTGGGCTGCTGCGGCAGCTGCTGCTGCTGCTGCTGCTGCTGCTGCTGCTGCTGCTGCCATGGGGGCTGGCTGGGCTGCTGCTGCTGCTGCTGCTGCGGTTGCCATTGGCGAGGGCTGGCCTGGCCAGAGCGCCGCGGCCGTGATAGCGGTCTGCGCCAGGGCGGGTCCTCGCCTGCTGGCTCCGCATGCCACTGCTGTTCTTGCCATCCAGCGCCCTGCCACCTCTCCTGGCGCCAAGGGGGCGCTGCTGGCGGCGCTGCTCCTTCCTGGGCGTGGCCCTTGCCGCCTCGTCCACCGCTGCCTCTGCCCTTCCCGTCTCGTGCCATCGCTGGCTGGGCAGAGTGGTGGGCGGCCAGGCGCTCGGCCGCCGCCCGCAGGCGGAGCAGGAGCCTGTCCTGGGCTCTCTGCTGCCGCTCACGGCGGTGTGCAGCGCCCTCTGGACCTCCTCCTCGGCGATGTGGCGGCGTCCCGCCGGTGGGCCGCAGCGCGGCCGCGAGCGCCGCGGCCTGCGGCAGGGGACAGGGAGGCACGGGTGGCCCCCTGCCGCAGAAGATGGCGCGCGGCGCGCGTGAGCCCGGCCTCGGGGGCTGGCCGATGCGCGATGCGCCCTGCCACCGCGATCGATCGGGCGGCAGGCGCCGACCGACCCCGATGGATCGATCGGGATCGGCTGGCCCGCAAGAGGCCAAATGGCTTCCTCCTGCTCCTCCTCCTCCTCCTCCTCTTTCTCCTCATTCTCCTTACATCCTCTCTTCTTCCGCGTCCTCCTCGTCCCCTGTTTACTCCTCCTGCCTCCCCCTCCTTTCCCAAGATAACGGCAACGCAATCCTTTTTTCCACTTTATGCTCCCCGACTTCTCTGATCAAGGCAACTCGCCAGGGCAAAGTTGCTGGACGGGCTGGCGTGGATGCGCGGGGCTTGAAGAGGTCGTTGCGGGCTCAGACGGCATGCAAAAATCCGCCGCCGCGCTTGTGCGGCATTGGTTTGTTCAGTGAACGTTGTTTGGGTCGCGGGTGCGTCGCGGGCTCTCCACCTCCACCTGGAAGGAATGCAAAAGCAGCCCGCCGCAGGCGCCGAAACATTTGGTTTGTACACTGAATGTGGTTTGGGTCGCGGGTGGGCCGCGGGTTCCCCACCGGGAACGACTGCAAAAGATGCCCGCCGCAGGCGCCGAACAATTTGGTTTGTACCCTGAACATGGTCGCGGGTAGGCCGCGGGCTCTCCACCTGAAACGAATGCAAAAGATGCCCGCCGCAGGCGCCGAAACATGTGGTTTGTACCCTGAACGTGGTTTGGGTCGCGGGTTGGTCGCGGGTTCTCCACATGGAAGGAATGCAAAAAAACCCGCCGCAGGCGCTGAAAATGGTGGTTTGTACCTTGAACGTGGTTTGGGTCGAAAATGGGTCGCGGGTGGGTCGCCAGGTGGGTCGCGGGTGGGTCGCGGGTGGGTCGCGGGTGGGTCGCGGGGTGGACCGCGGGGTGGACCGCGGGCGGGTCGCGGGGTGGGTCGCGGGTGGGTCGCGGGTGGGTCGCGGGGTGGGTCGCGGGGTGGGTCGCGGGGCGGGTCGCGGGGTGGGTCGCGGGTGGGTCGCGGGTGGGTCGCGGGTGGGTCGCGGGGTGGGTCGCGGGGTGGGCCGCGGATGGGTCGCGGGGCGGGTTGCGGGTGGGAGGACGACAACAAACAACAACAACAACAACAAACAACAAACAACAACAGCAAGAATCCGCACCGCGGAATCCCACTTCAGCCACGCACCCAGGGACAGTGAATGACCGTTCGGCCCCCTCACTCTGATATTTTCCATATTTTCAAAAGGTGCGTTTTCACCTTCCACCTCACATATTTTCCATACTTTTCTTTGGAAGCGACGATTCTTCGTGCACGTGTGTTGACCTCCTCCTGAAGACAGCAAAGGGGGTCAACGAACCAGCTCACGTAGCTGACTTCCTCGGCGCTTCTCGGCGCCAGAGGCGCCAGTGTCTCGAGGAACGCGCCCGGCGGCGGGGAACCAGCTGCATCAAGCAGATTTCGCCCCCCGCCCCCCCCCCCCTTTCCCTATACCCCACTCCTCCTCCTCCTTCTCCTCCTCCTCCTCTCACCTCCTCCTCCTCCTCCTCCTCCTCCTCCTCCGCCTCCTCCTCCTCCTCCTCCTCCTCCTCCTCCTCCTGGTGGCGCGCAGAGGGGGGTATGGGGGAGGGGGGAAGGCTTCTTAGAAGGAGGCTGCTTATTAGAAGGTGCGGGCCTTACATTCACAGACAAGGCCCGCGCCTTCTAAGAAGCAGCTGTGCTTCTAAGAAGCCCTCCGCCTCCCCCTACCGCCCTCTGCGCATGGTCGGCTTTCGTCCGATCCGACAAAGGCGGCGAGCATGTCCACATCCGTGCCCTCCCTTGACTTCGGGTCCGCTGTACATTGGGCGATGTCGTACGCAGGGCGGACGTGCCCGCGCAGCTATTCAAGCTCCCAACACGTTGTAGAGTCGGAGTATCAACCAAACTGTGGGGGATCCGAAATCAGGGTCTCGCGGTCTCTGGACATCCGATATCTGGTTTTGTGAAGACACCACCCGAAGGAACCTCGACCCTTTCCCCAGGGCCGGCTCTTCACCCCGCGCCTGGACCTTCCCCCGGAGGCCCCAGGACCGGCTTTTCATCCCAAGTCGTTTCGTGAGGATCCTGCGGCCCGGCGAAAACCGCCAGAGGCCAGAAACGGCCCACAACCTCCCGTCGTAGTTTTTGATCATGACTTGCGCGTGTCTGGGCCTGGGCGCCGAGGCGCGACCCCGTGGATACACGCGAGCCCGTGGGTGCGTTCCGCGCGGAGCGCCCGCGAAGAACTGGCCTCTTTACCCACGGGGTCGGCGCAATGTTGGGACCTTTTGTTCAGCGTGTCGCGGCGGCAGCTGCGCCGCATCGCCTCGGAAGCGCCCCTCCGTCGCTCGAGCGCTGATTGAGTCAAGCGGCCGCAGACAGAAAAGTCGCGGCGGCGGCTCTGGCGACACGCTATGCCCTGGCAAGCGGATAGCGCGTCGCTCCGCTCCGCGGGGCGACGGGGGCGGATGGGAAAAGCCCGGACGTTGATGCTTGGGGACTGGGATGTGGTGAGCGTGCCGCGCCCAAGCGTGGCGTGGTGGGCCAGAACTGGCGGAGCGCCACGCTGAGCATACGTTCCCGACCACATGTTTCCGGCCCAAAGGAGGGACCGGCCTTCTAAGAGGCTCAAGGGGCCTTCTAGCAGGGGATCGGGTCCCTCTTGAAGGCTTCTTGGGCCCAGACCTCCAAAGAGACTCGAGCAAAGTTGGGACCGAGGTGTTCTTCTGCATTTTCGGGCTCCGGGTGCCCTTTCCTGGGCCCCAGGGCTGTTCGAAAACGGCCAGGGGTGAGAAGTCGGTCCCAAGGAAATTGTCAAAAAGTCCAAGGCCTGGAGACTCGGACTTATCGAGTCGTCGGGTGTCTGGGGTCGGCGGCATTCTGACAAGCCCAGGGGGCTTCTAAAAGGAGGTCGGCCACTGTCCGTGCAGGCCTTTAACGGCGGCTTCTGGCTCGCTGAGAATACCTCCGAAGCGTTGCCACGAGAACGCGGGCCAGGATTCTGAGCCCCCTCGCCGGAGACGAGGAACACTCCAGGGCAGAGGGGGTGCACGAAGAGTACAGGGCACAGGCACCCCCCATCCACAGCTAGAATTAGGTCGGGCATGTCCCCCTACAGGCGGATTTCGGACGACAAATAAAACAAATACCCCCAAAATGCTAAAACATAGTCAGAAGACATTGAACAAATAACCCCCGAACTATTTTTGTTGGACTATCTTTGAAGATACTTCCCCTGAAGAGGGACGGGCTGTCTTGGACTCTCGCGCCAGCCGCACCGCTCCCCTCGCACCGCTCCCCTGGGCCCACGCTGGCCGGCCTCGCGAGCTGCTCCCAGCTGCAGCCACGAAGCCGCCCCACCCGCGAGCCCGCGCGTCGGGTCGGACGAGAGGGGGGGATCGTGAAGCGCGGGCTGGGGGGATCGGATCGCGTGGCCCGTTGGCCTGCCGCCTGGCGCCGGAGGCGCCAGTGTACATGGAAGAAGATGCCCTGCGGCAGGGCCGAAACCAGCTGCATGCAACAGACTTCACGGGGCCTCCTTTCCCTGTCCCCCCCCTTCGTCCGCCCCGGCCCCAGCTCTCGACCCCTCGGCCTCGTCCCCATAGGGGCGGTGTTCGCCGTTTGCCCCAGGCAGCTCTTCGTCGGCCCTGCGGGGCCCGCAAAAGGCCTCCCTCCCCCCTCCGGGAGCCGAAACAGAAGAGAAGAAGCAGTGGCGGGACTGAACGGAGAGCGGGCGTTGCTTCACAGGCCGGCAAGTCGGCCGGACCAAGACAGAAGAGCGTCCTCCAAGAATATGAAGCCCTCCACCGGCAAAACAGTGGAACTGTTCGAGGGTGCCCTCCTCCAGGATGCACAAGAACATCCAACAGACACGCAGAACATCAGGGTGTCCTCCCCGAACCGACCTCGATCTCAAACCTCGGTCCGCCCGTTAACGGGGGAGGGGGAGACACGAGCACCTTTCGTGCACTTTCAGGGCCCCACTGGGACCCTGCCCAAGGCCCCCTTCACGCAACCGCTCGCCCCCCCCCCGCCATGCCTCGCCCGCCCCCGCTGCGATGTTTCTTGGTCGGCGGGGCGAGTTTTGGATTCAACAAGCGGTCAAGCAGACGGCGGGACGCATCCGCTGTCAATGCGGGCGCAGGGGCGCAGGCGGGCGAGGGTCGGCGGCGAGCGGGGGCAGCGAGAAGGAGAAGGCCTTCTGAGAAGGCTCGGAAGTCCCCCCCGGCCTTCTGAGAAGTTTTCCGAGCCTGCCCCGAAGACACAAACCACTTCTCAGACGGCGCGAGGGCATCTGAGAAGTCCCGCGGCCTTCCGAGAGGGCCTTCTCCTTCTCACTTCCCCCCCGCTCGCAGCCGAGAGGGGCGAGGAGACGGAAGACGCCCCCCATTACGACACGCCTGAGCAAAACCTTCCGCCCGACAAGCTCGGAGTGAACACCGCCAGGCCTGCGGGTGCGCCGCCGCGGGCATGCGCGGCATCGCCGGGCGGCCCGCGACCCCCGCTGGGGCGGACGGGTCCCTCGTCCAGAAGGGCCCGCTGTCCAAGGGCAAGGGGAGCTCGCCGGCGTCGGCCTCGCCCGCAGGGGTCCCCGCCGCGACGCCCAGGCCCCTGCCGGGGAGACGACACAGAGCACCGACACCGCTGCTCCTGGGCAAGACCTCTCCCCGGGTGGGTGCCGACCGGAGCATCCGGGTGGATCTGGCCGTGGCGACGGGGGCCTCCCAGGAGGCCCCCGAAGGGCGAAGACGAGGCAAGTGCTCGGTGCCATTTCCCCCTCCGACCTGCGGGTGCCGCCGATGACGCGATCCAGGTCCGCGTCCGCGGCGGACCTCCACTCCGGCGCGCCGGCGCCGCTGGCCCACGACGTGCCCTCCGCGCTGGCCAGGCGGTCTCCGCTGCCCGGCGGCGGGCTCTCCGACGCAGCTGCCGCACCCCGGGCGCCGAGCGGGGGCAGCAGCGCGCGGGGGCTGTCTGCCCTGGAGGGCGTGCCCGGCCGCGAGTGCTCGCCCGCCGAGGCGGCGGGCCAGGCGCCCGCCTGGCTCGAGGCCGCGGCGGTGATCATCCTGGGCGCGGCAGCGTTCGGCGGCCGCCGCGGGCTTGGGGCGGGCACCGCGTCGACCGAGGCGAGGCTGCCCTCGGCCGCGTGCTGCGCCGCGGCCTTCTTGGTGGTCGCGACCGTGCATAGGGCCCTGGCCCAGCCCCGCGAGCCCAAGCGGGCGTAGCGCACCTGCAGGGCCAGGCTGTACTGGCACCGCGGGGAGAGGCCGCTGACGACCACGCTGGGGCAGCGGCCCTGCACGATCTCGTCCGGCGGCGTGCCACGCGGGAAGGCGGAGCACAGCAGGTGCTCGGAGCGGGGCGGCGGCGGCGCCGGCGCCGGCGGCGCGCCGGCGCTCCGCTGGGCAAGCCGGTCGCTGGACATCGGCTGCGGAGTCACCGTCAGCCTGTACCTGGAGGTCTCGGCGGGCGACGGCGCCATGCGCAGACCCCCACGCGTCGTGCAAAATTACGGCGGCGGGTTTCTCGCCATCTTCGTCCCCTGTGTAACAGTGACCTTTGGTGCGCGGCTTTTTGGGGGCCGCGGGGGGGGCCAGACACAGGCGCAAAGGACGCTACTATCGCATCGCGTTCGGCGCCCGGCGGTCTCCAATGGGCACGCACCAAAGGTCACTCTGGTGAAGGGTCACTCTTACGCGTAGTCGACCCTACAAGGGGACTGGCCAACAAAAACGGCTCGGGATGAGAGAAGCCGGTCCGCGGGAGGAAGGTCCAGACCTCTGGGGAGCCACGGCGGGAACAACATCACGGCGCCGGGCGTCTGGTGGGCCTCTGAGGGCCTCTGGGGACAGAACGGCGCCAAACACGTCCAAGACGCCTCGGGGCTCCAGAAACGGGGGTCAGTCAGAGCGCCGGATCTTGCAGGATCCTGCAGAGCCAGGGCTGCACTGACCCGGGTCTGCGTGCAGGATCCTGCAGGATCCTGGCGCGGGCTGATCGGGAGAGCGTCCGAGGCCCCCGAGGGGCACTCCACCTCCGCGTGCACCGGGACCCCGGCGAAGGCCGCGGGCACGAACTGGGGCCAGCTGGCCCGGAGGGACGACTCCGTCAGGTCGGAGACGGCGATGGCCTGCTCCTGCGTGGGCACCAGCGGGCTGATGTGCGGGGGCGGCACGCTGAGCCTAGCGTCCTCCAGATCCTCCCCCCCCCTCCCTCCCTCACTTCCTCCCTCCCTCCTTCCCTTCCTTCCTTCCTTCCTTCCTTCCTTCCTGCCTTCCCTCCCTCCCTCCCTCCCTCCCTCCCTTCCCTCCTCCCTCCCCTCCCTCCCTCCCTCCCTCCTCCTCCCTCCCTCCCTCCTCCCTCCCCTCCCTCCGCCTCTCCTCCTTCTCCTCCTCCTCCTCCTCCTCCTCCTCCTCCTCCTCCTCTCCTCCTCCTCCTCCCTCCTCCTCCTCCTCCTCCTCCTCCTCCCCCTCCTCCCTCCTCCTCCTCCTCCTCCCTCCTTGTCCGCCCCTCTTCTCCTCGTTACTCCCCAACGCTGCTCGCTGGACCTCCGACGACGGACCTCGGGAGGGCAGTGCCGAGCCTCTCTTCCTCCGACGGCTCCGACCATTCGGTCATGTGGAAGAGGTCGCCCACGCGGACCGAGAAGGCGTAGCGCGTGTCCAGCTTCAGCCCGTCCTCTAAGGCGAGGCCAGGACGAAGATAAGATCGGGTGAAGGTAAATCGAGAATCTCTGAGATTCGGCGGCTTTGGAGCATGGCCTTCTCAGAGCGTTCGGGAACGCACGCTCTGAGAGCCTTCCGGAACGCTCTGGAGCGGACTTATCCTCGTCCCAGCCCCGCCCGACGTCCTCCTCGCGGACGCAGGCCACCAGGCACCTCTGGCGCGTGACGTGGCCGGTCGGGCTCACCGTGGCAAGAGGGATGGTCGGGTGGGCCGGCGGCAGACTCACGTCCTCCGGGACAACAAAAAGCGGCACAGCCACACGGCTTGGATAAGGAATCCAGGGTTTGAGAGCTGGAGGAACTCCAATCGCGGAGCGGCCATGGCTATCACCGCCGCCCACGTCAGGTAAGGAATCCTCCAGGGTCTGGAGCCTCCTGGGCAAACTTCTTGACCAACGCCCCCACCGTAGTTACACCTTCGGAGTGCTGCGCGGATTTCTCGGGTTGGCGCTGGCCCCCCCAGCGGCATATCGCCGACGTAAGAGATCTGTGCGGACCGACGAACATGTATTACATTCCTGTCAAAGTTGACACGAGGAAAGGGGGAGGGAGGAGGGGGAGTCGAGGGAGGGGAGGGGCGAGGGGGAGAGGGGGAGAGAGGGAGGGAGGGGGAGAGGGGGAGAGGGAGGGAGGGAGGGGCGAGGGGGAGGGAGAGGGGGAGGGGCGAGGGAGGGAGGGGGAGGGGGGGAGAGAGGCGAGGGGCGAGGGGAGGGATCGTCGTTTGTCGTCGTCGCCCGTCGTCGCCGTCGTCCGTCATCGTGATCGTTGTCGTGGGCGTCGTCGGTGTTGTCGTCGTCCTCGTTGCCGTGGTCGCCGTTCACGTCCTCGTCGTCGCCGTCGTTATCGTCGCCGTCGGTTCTGTGCACTTTCTAACCCAAACCAGCGATCATACTTAGTGAAGAATGCGGGTTTTAACACCCATACATTCGGCGATGAGTATTTCGTCGCTTAGGAGGCCCGACCCCTTCCCCGAATTGTAGTCTTTCGTCTGGGATCCGTTTTGACGGCCTGGGGGCCCAGAAACGGGCCCCCGAGCAGAACAGAACGGACTGAACACACGGCCTCGCCTGCATGCCTCCCAGATGGGGCTGAGAGCAGATCCTGCCGAATGATCGGGCCGCATCGCGGGTGCATCGCCGATGCATCGGCGACGGCGGGATGGAGAAGAACGGGCTGCAGATCGCGCCTCATCGCCGAAGAATCGACGATGCGGCGCTGTCCCCGAGCCACACTTACTCTGGCCTCATTCGAAATCAGAGGCGGCAGGGGGATCCGTCTTTGACGGTCCTGGAGCCCGAAAACGGCTCCTGGAGGCAGAGCAAAAAAGAACAAGTTTTCGAGCCCAGAACCTCGAACCTCTTCCCCTCTTTCCTGCTCGCCAGAACCAGTGCTGGGCCACCTCAGACCCCCAGCTAGCTCCAAACTTCAGAGGCCTGGATCGTCGTCGTCGTCGTCGTCGTCGTCGTCGTCGTCGTCGTCGTCGTCGTCGTCGTCTGTCTTCTCGCTTGGCGGCATGGGCGCGAACAAGGGGGGCAGGGGGAGGGGGGAAGGCTTCTTAGAAAGAGGCTGCTTCTGGGCAGGATAGAGAAGGCCCACGCCTTCTAAGAAGCAGGGGTGCTTCTAAGAAGCCATCCCCTCTCCCCCTTACCCCCCTCTGCGCATGGTCGACTTTCGTCCGATCCGACAAAGGGCGGCGAACATGTCCACATCCGTGCCCTCCTCTGACTTCGGATCCGCTGTACCTTGGGCGATGTCGTACGTAGGGCGGACATGCCCGCCCTGCTATTCAAGCTCCCGGCACATTGCAGAGTCGGAGAATCAACCAAAGTATGGCGGATCCGAACTCAGGGTCGCGGTCTCCGGACATCCGATGTCTTGGCTCCCTCTCCCCCATACCCCATACCCCTCTCCCCCATACCCCCGACCCCCCCCTCTCCCCCATACCCCCCCTCTGCGCGTGGCCGGCTCGTCTCCGCGTCCTGCTCGATGGCCCCGAGGCCGCCGCCGTCGGCGGGCGGCGGATCCTCCGCGCCGCCGTCGCCAGCAGCCTGCGCCGACGGCCGGCCCTCGAGGCCGGTCACAAGCGCGCCCGCGCGGTCCGCGAGGGGGTCGGGGTCTGCGAGGTGGTCGTTCTGGCGGTGCCAGAGCACCTATCATTTGGGAGACAAGCGCCCGTGGGCGTCGCAACTGTTTCACATGAAAAACGTTTTCGCCCGGGTTCGGTCCCCGGGGACCTTCACAGATCCATCCGGCTCAAAAGATGACGCACACAGAGGGGGTCCAGGGCTCCAGCCCCGATTTTTCGCGATGTTGCACCTTTCTTGGCAGCTTCAGATCTCAGGGATGGGTCTGCGAGGTGGTCGCAGAAGGCGGTGCCAGAGTAGCTGCTGTGGGAAACGAGAGGTTCACATACGTCCGCCGCTGCTGGCCAGGCCTATCCTGGGCCCAGGGGCGGTGTATACGCCCCCCCTGGCTTGGCCAGGGAGGCATTTCTGAGGGGCCCAGGGGCACACAAACAACTACGCACAAATCCCAGGATTCCCCAATGTTTGTCACGTTCCGAGTTTTCGTCTTCCCCCCACTGCCCATATTTTCCTATATTTTCTTGGGAGTCGACGATGCATTGTGTCTGTGTGTTTTTTTCCCTCCTGAAAGTACACCGCTACTGCGCTCGGGATGGGCCTGGCCAGCGGCGTTGGATATGTATAGGTCTCGTCGCCCCAACGTTGACGCGCCCGACATGGGCACGTAAACATGGGCACGATTTCCAACAGCAAGTGCTGTCCCACACCGACGGCGGCTGCTGTTGTGCAGGCGACGTTGTGTCTCAAACGGGCGACGCACGCGGCGGCGCTGTTCCATATGGTCAGGAATTGCTGTCGGTCTTCGTGGTCACTTTTTCTGTACCCACTTCGATCGTACCGAACCTGGATCGGCATCTCCACCCAGGGGGCGTCGACGTGTGCGGCCTGGTATCTGACCTGAGCGACGGAAGCAAACGGGTATTGCGCGAGGTGGCGTGGCGACTTTACGCCGCGGCTTACTCGGGCCGCCAGCGCGGCACGATACATCGGAAACCAAGGCGCTTACGCGCGACCGTTCCGCGGACAGCTTACGCGCGATTGCCCGCGCTATCGACCCCGTTTTTCGGCGTCGCTCGCCTGGTAGCGACAGACGAACTCGTGGGTGCCCAGGGCCCCGTCGAGGGGGGCGCGGAGGACGATGCGAGACGAGGACTCGTCGACCACCCTGCGCGCCGAGACCGTCGCCACAGGCTCCAGGTGGGAGAGCATCAGCGGCGACGCCCGCCCGACGTCAGAAGAAGAAAACACCGCACGAGCATACATTTTCGGAGGTCCGCGTGGATTTTCCTTGGATCGGCGCTGGACTTGGAGTGCCAGATGGGACCTGCTCTAAAACAGGAGCATGCCATAGACGGATCTACCCTTTCTACGACCTTCTACTGCGCCGAACGCAACGACCGAGTTCTCTTTAGACGCATCCACCCTGAATGTGTCGATGTACGTGACGGCACCAGTGTGTCTATAGACGCTTGTGGCTAGAAAGTGCAAGCGGTATTTGGCATAGGCGCGAGATGCTGGCCTTCTAGAAGCAAGTCTACTTTGCCCTCCAACGCTGGACCCCCTTCCCTGGAGCGCGGAGCGCTTAAGTGGTGGCGGCGCCAGAGGCGCCACCCCGCTGTGGGGGGAGGTGGGCCCAGCGCCGACCCACGAAAAGCGCGCGCTGAGCTCCGAAAAATCAGGCCCGTGCCGCTCTTTCTGCTTCGAGATGCGCCCACTCTCGCGCTCGTAGAGCCGGAATCGCGTCCGCAGGGCGCGCCCCGGCACATCCCTCGTAGATGCCTCCCAGATGGGGTCCGAGCCGATGGGGTCGGAGGATCGGGCCGCATCGTCGATGCATGGACGATGCATCGGCGACGTCGGCGATGCATCGGCGACGTCGGGGTGGAGAACATCGGCCTCCGCATCGAACCGTGCAAGTGATGCCTCGGCGATGAAGCGCGACCCTCCGACCCCGTCTGCTCGCACCCCACCTGGGAGGCCCAAACCTCAGCAGCCAGGCCGCCGCCCCGTCGACGGCGACGCGGGAGACGTCCTTGCAGGGCAACCAACCGTCCTCGCCAGCGCCCTCTTCGGCGACTCCGAAGGGTGGGGTTTGCAAAAGGTGTGGTTTGCAACCGGCACCCTGAAGGGCACCCTGGGGGACGGGCGAGGACCTCAACAGAGCTCTCCGCCGCGCCCCGAGGAGGCCCGACGAGGACAGTGTCGTGCCCCCCCGGCCCCGACGGTGCCGATCGCAAACCACACCCCCGGCGTAACCATATCCTATACCCTTTGTAGTCGCCGACCTCTGGCAGAGCCTGCAGGTCGTAGCGCCCCCCCGGGACGTCGGGCTCTGCGCTGCCGGCGGCTGTCTGGCCGGCGGCGGCGGCCTCGTCTGGCCGCAGGCCCGCAAAGGACCACCTCAAGACGAAGCCAGCACAGGGACAAAATCCGACGGGGATACATGTGCCGACTCGTCGTCGTCGTCGTCGTCGCCGTCGCCGTCGCCGTCGCCGTCGCCGATAGCCCCAAGGAAATTGAGGAACAAGGAGAAATGACATTGCAATTAAGTCCGAGGGAAGCCCATTCTGTTTGTCCCTTCCCTGCCGGGGGTGTGGGGGGGATCCTGGGGGGGTCCCGGGTCAGAATGCTGCCTTCCCGGGGTGCGGGGGGGGTCCTGGGTCAGAATCCCGCACCCCGGGGTCCTGGAATGAGTCGCCAGCGGGAGTTCTAAGGAAGGTCCCGCCTTCAAGGACGGCGGCGGTTCTAGAGGATGTATCGGGCGCCCCGGCCTTGTCACAGCGTTCCGGACCGCTCTCAGAGCGGCGTTCTGGAACGATGTGTCCCTGCCCCGGCCCCGACCGACCACCGCATGAGCACGCAGCGCGCACCGCATTGCAGCCGCCGCATCCGCTCGAACGGCAGCGGGACCTGGGCGGGCACGGGCAGCGGAGCCGTGGCGGCGCGCAGCGAGGTGCGGGGGCTGCTGAAGACGTCCTCGAACTCGCGCGGGCCCACGTGGGTGTACCGGGCCGCCAGGGTGAAGACGTAGGTGGTGTCCTGCCGGAGGTCGGTCAGCACGTGCGAGGTCACGTCGGCCCCGCCCTGCCCTCCTGTGGGCGTGTGGCCCCGGAAGAGCGCCGCGAGCCGGCGCTCACCCATGGCCGACCCGTCCTTCAAGGCCTCGCTCTTAAACAGGCCGTACTCGATGGCCTTCAGGCCGCCACAGCCGCGCAGCGGCGGCCAGCGCAGGCGCACCGTGCCGCCGCCCACCTTCTCCACGGAAAGCTTGTCAGTGTCCGGTTGCTCCGGCTTCGGAGGCGCGACGTAGACCTTTACGGGCGCAGAGGACACGGACCAGTCGGACCAGGCCAGCCCGTCGGAGACGCGCACCGACACCTGGTACCATGACCCGTAGTCGAGCAGCTCCCCTGGCGGCAGGGGCAGTCGCGAGGAGTGCCGCACCCAGTGCTCGCCCTCCGCGGGGGCGTCCTCCCCCTGGGCCGCCGCGAGCGGGGCGTCCGGGCTGCACGCCCAGGCGGACCAGGGCAGTCCCATCGGCCGCCTGCCGTCCGCCGACGGCGGCCCCGGCGGCCGGGGGCTGTGCCTGGAGCGCAGTTGGAACCTCGTGGCGAAGGCGTGCCCGAAGCCCTCGGGCAGCCAGCCGTGAGCCTCGGCGTCCTCGCAGGCCGCCCCAGCCACGGCCGCGCCGCCGAGGGCGGGCGGGGCCCCGCCCGCCTCGGCAGCGCCCCCGAGGGTGGGCGGGCCAGCGCTGGGCAGGCGGCCAGGCGCCAGCCGCAGGCAGAGGCAGAAGCTCGCCGCGACGCCCAGCTCGCGCTCCGCCACCAGCAGGGCGCTCCGCGGCGCCAGCGGCGGGGCCATCGCCGCGCAGGCGGGCGCCGAGGCGCCCGAGAACCAGCGGGTGACGGGGCACTCGCCGCGCGCCTCGGCGGCGAGGCGGAACTGCACCCTCTGGGCGTGGGCGTGCCAGAGGGCCTCCTCCTCCTCCGCGGCTGACCCGCCGGCGCCGCCCCGGCGCAGCCCGGGCAGGCGCACGCGCCAGAGCGCGGGGGGCACCTTCCACGGCGCGACGGCCGCGCCCAGCGCCTCCTCGCAGTGGCGGTCGGAGACGTCTGCCGGGAGCACCTCCAGCGGCCTCATCCAGGAGGAGGGCCCCTCGCCGCCAGAGGGCGCCGTCCGGTCCTCCTCCGCCGCCAGGCCCACGTGCCTGTACTCGAGAGCGTATCGGATGCCGTCGGGTGCCCGCGCCGTGTCTGGGAAGCCCACCAGCAAGGCCCGCTCGCCGCCGCAGAAGAAGGGCACCCCCTCCGGCGCCAGTGCCAGCGGACTGGGGCCGCCGCCTGGGAACATCGCCGGCGGCGGGGGCGCTGGCCAATCCGCCTGCGCGTCGTCCAGGGCGAGCGGGCCACACGTCAGCGGGTCGCACCACGAGCGATAGCCTACGCACGGGTAGCGCGCCGAGACGGAGAGGACGTAGGCCGTGCTGGGCAGCAACCCCAGGAGCTGCGCCTCGAGCGGCTCACCGCGGGCCCCCGCGGGCAGAGTCTGCAGCGTCTCCACCGCGTGGGCGCCCTGGGCACCGACGGCGGCGGCTACGGGAATGGCCAGCAGCCGGTACTCGACCTCCGTGATGCCCTTTGGCACTGCGAAGGCGGGCCAGCGCAGGCGCGCCGCGCTCGCCGACAGGGTGGCGACCTCCAGCTGTCCCCCGGGCCGCTCTGGCGGGGGCGCCTCGTGCCGGAAGGGGCGCGAGGAGGAGGACCAGTCCGACCAGCGGAAGCCGTCGCCGATGCGCACCTGGACCTGGTACACCTCGCCAGGGCGCGGTCGGTGGGCCGCCGTGCGAGGGCCTCGGGAGGCCCAGGAGCCGACCAAGCAGGCCTCCAGAGGGCGACTCGTGGCCCTGGAAGACACATGCGCAGACTTAAACTTCTGGAGCTTCGTGCGGAGTTCTTGGATCGGCGCTGGACCTCCCTGCCTGCCTGCGCGCGGAGCGCGCCAGTGGCGGCGCCAGAGGCGCTGCCAGGGGGGCCCAGCGCCGATCCCAGAATGACAAAGTACGACTGTGTAACTGTTCCTTTTCCGCGGGCATCTCGGCCGTGCTGGTGCCTCGGGAGGTTCTGCTCGTTCGCTCCTGGGGCCCCTGGCCCTCCCAGTGGCCACTGGCCCGTGCACCTTGCCCTCCCCCAGCGTCGGGTCGGCACCGCTGAGCTGGAGAGCGTGGAGGTCTCCAAGGCTGGAGGCCTTCGACCCCGCATCGGAGCTTGCGCGGCAGTCGGCGATGGCTACCTGTGACCAACGAACAACATACACCCATACCCACAGGGGGGACGGAGGGGGCTATGGGTGCATGTTGTCGGATGGGGGTCCCCGCTAAAACAGGAGCCTCCCACGTGGTCCGACAACCCGCATCCATACCCACTGCCAATCTTTCTCCCTTCGAACCCCCCTACGAGTAATAATGGGTGTGAGTGTGTGTTGTTCGCTCGTCAACCTGCTCCAACTCCTGCCAGGCGCCCCTCCCAGCACCCCGCTCCCGGACGCGGGCCTGCGCCCACCGCACGGCGCGGTGCCCGTAGCCCGCGGGAACGAACGCCGCCTCCTCTCGCGGCGGCTCGTCGTCGGGCTCGTCGTCCGGCATGGCCGTCAGCGCCTCGCCGCTCGGGGGCTCGGGCGGCAACTCGGAGAAGCCGGTGCTCCACCAAGCGGCGAGCTGCGCCCGCGACTGCTCCACCGTGACGTCGCCGGGAGGGCGGGACGCGGTGTGCGCGAGGAAGAAGACGTCCACGCGCCAGGCCCTGTCCTGCAGCGCGGGGCGGGGTGCGGGCTCGGCCGCCACGGGCGCGATGCACGTGGCGACGGGCTCCGAAGGGACGCCGATCCAGCGGCACGGGTGGCACGACCTGGCGGGGGGACAGACAACACTTGGGAGCTCGGTGCTGCGATCTTTCCGCGCTGGGCGTCTTCGTCTGGTTTCGAGCCCCATGGGGCTATCACACATCGATCTGGCTCCGAAGATGCAGCTGCAAGATGAGGTCTGGGGCTCTCGCCGTGAGTTCCTGCGATGTCCCATGAATTTCGCCACGTCGGGTCTATGGGTGTACCGAAGCCATGCTCCCTGGACCTCTCCGAGAGTGCGTTCCGACCAGAATTTCGAAGAGAATCCAGCCGTGGCGCCGAGGGCTCTCCCAAGCGAGCACCGGCATCGGTATCTATTTTTCCCCCGACGACCCGCGATCCGCCGTCCCCAGCCGGAAGCAGACCACGTCCGGGAGCTCCTGGTTCGACTGCCCGCCCTGGTCGCCGCGGTCGAAGCCAGGCAATTCGGCCACGACGCAAACCCTGCCCGCGCTGCCCGGTCGGTCCAGGAGCGGCCTGGTGGGCACTGCCGCCCACTCGCCCGCGAGGACGACGGACCGCTCCTGATCGGTGGCGCGCAAGGGGGCCGGCCGGACGGGCGGGGGCCTCCAAAGAGGGCACCGCCTCTGGTGTTTCTCGTGGCGCGTAGCCTCCACGGGGGTGGCGCTTGCTCCACGCAGAAAACGTCTATGATTACACCACCGCCGTGCCTGGCGATGGCTGCCTTGAGCCCTGGCATGGTGCATGACACACCCTCCTGGCCAAGGCCCGCGGGATCCGTTTGACATCGCAAGGTGGGAACAGGGTTGTGCAGCACGGTCTGCAATCACGCAATGCTTTCTGTACACGCGGGGCTCATGGGCCCTGGCCGGCAGTGGATGCTCGCATGGAGGTAGCAGCAAAGGAGAGAGAAGCACAAGACCAAGACTAAGAAGAAAAGCAATATATTTGCAAAGCCACTTCGCACGCCGAAGACTCCTGCTAGCCCGATGATCTACAAACACACACACACACACTCGTCCTCACACACCTAACATGGAAATGCGTCGTTGAACGTGATGAAGATACCCGCTAGGCTGAGCAACACGGTTGGCAAACCACCGCAAATACAGATAAACGTTCCTCGCGCCGTGTGAATATGGAACGCGGGCATTGCAAGGGTTGGTGTAGATATCAGCGCGCTGGTCATGGTAGCGTCGCAATTTGAGCAAGGGTGCAGGCGCCGTGCCCAGGACCCTATATACCACTGCTCTGCGCAAAATCTGGCCGCGTCTTGCTCTGTCAATTGCGTGTCTTCGGGTCTAGCCAGTGCCTCCCCATCGTCGCCGACTCCTCTGTCGTGCACGCTTGGCTGGTACGCGTCAATCTATGCAACAGCGGGGGATTCCCCTTCCAGCGTCGGCATACATTCCAGAATGGTCAATCCATCGGGCGTCTCCGTTTTGAGCGTCCAAAGCTGAACGTATGATCTGAATCTCGTTCGCTGTTCTGCGGCCAGTTGCGCAGCCAACGTTCTCGCTGTGCAAGAGATCGCGCAACGACTTGGCATCACATATCGTCAACACTTGTTGGAATTCTTTGTTTGGGTGTGCTGTCCTCCGGCCGGCTACCAGGTGGCCTCAGTGACGGGCGCGGGGCGCCCAATCGACGACGATGTCGAGAAAAAGGCCTCCCCTAGTCCCTCGAACAGACCCTGGATCCACTCGACTTCTGCTTCGGCTTCCGACATGGATTGCGTCTCTGCTGTACGCGTGCTGGCATCCAGGCTCGGCAGGCGATGTGATTTGCACGACGCCAGGGCAACGGGAGCTGCCCTGTATTTCTCGCTGGCGACGTTGGCCCACGAAGCTGGATAGTGACGCATCGCAACAGGTGTGGTGGTATCTGTGGTATCAGGATACCTAGCTTGGGCTCCTGCTTAAAAATGGCCTCGCCGTCCTTCGCATCGCGCGAATCTTGAATCGCCTGGTAATCCCAAGCAAGGAGAGCTCAGAAACATCTGGATGCGTTTCTCTTGGCCCTGCAAAGGTCGCAACAGGGATAGCTAAAGGATTGTTGCCAGATCGTTCTTGTTGGATTTTCGTATTGTGGGAATGCGGTAGTCTACGACGACCTTCGCCTGGCGGATATTGACATATATGGATAAATAATCCAAGGTGCATGTGGCGTTGTGTGTTGCGTCCAGCATCGTTGCCTTCACCGCAGTTCACGGTCTTCCATGTTCTCACCTGGAACCGTTGCTGTAAGCATCGCAAATTCTCGTCGTGGAAGGTGTTCCCGTGCGCAGTGATGTCGTCTGCCTCGACGAATAGATGCACATGTAGGCTTTCAACTGTCAAAAGCGAAACACACATGGATCATCGCGCGACCTGCGGTGGCCTAGGTCTTCAAGAACACGTTCGAGAGTCGTCTGCCACGCGGTTAGTGGGTTGACAAGCGCACTGCGGTGTCCCAGTGTATCAGACACCTGGCCTCGAGCGATATCCCACCATGAAGAAGAGACACGTGTAGCTTGCCGTGCGGTCTGTCCCCGCGGCCCCTCTCGCTCTGCGTGAAAACTGTTTCCAAACCGCTGGACCTAACTTCGCGTTATAAAGAAACAGCTGGAAGGCGCGTGCGTGCTACTTGTCTGGGGCGTGGGGCTCGCTATCGCTAGCTCCGTGATGTGGGGGCCTCAGTTTCCCAGCGCGAGCGCACCAACAGTAGTTTGCAACTCTGGGTCAGCCCCCCCGTCTTTCACTTGGCTTGTCTGACTACGCGCATCGAGATGGAAGTATGCGGTGCCGATGGTGCTCGTGGATGTTCTTAGCAGCTCGTGGACATGATGTGGTCGCAACGCCCGTCCGAGAGATAGGCTTCCGCTCCTTAGCGATAGCCTCGTGGAAGCGCGGTCACTGAGGATCTGGTGTTCGCGGAATGCCGATTCTGTGCTGCACCTCGGCGGCTGTCAATCCTTTTGCTTTGTCTTCCTCAAACAACGCACTGCGCAATCTTTTGCTTGTAGCGTCGGCGAATAGCCAACTCTGTAACGCCCTCCTCGTAGAGCAATACAGGTGCACCCGTCACTTACCATGCTGCCCCCTTATCTGACCTCCTCCACCATTCTCGTCGTCGTCGTCGTCGTCAACGTCGTCATCGTGCTCGCAGTTCTCGTTTCGCGGATGGTACTTGTAAGATGATGTAGGCAGCGTATTAAACGTACACGGCGCTGTGCTTGTAGTCGTCTCTCCTACAAGTGGGCAGGAACAAATAAACAGCTGTTGCCAATCTCCACCTTCCCTCGGCTGCCAACCCATACTGCCCAAAGGGTGGCCGTCCAGCCGGTCGACTGTTTCAGGGGCGGAGAGATCGAGCCGCGGTCGTTGATCTGGCGGCTCGCCCCCTGGATGTGGAGGGGCGTGGGCAGCAGTCATGATCGTCCGGGCGGTCGGCGTGGGCTGCCTGTCAGCAGATGCGTGGTCACTTCCATCGGATTCTGGCTCTGGCAGATTGGAAGCAGCATGCGCCCGTGAGCGGGCAGCAGCACCAATTTGGAGAGCGTCCCGGGTGCTGTTGATATCGGCCCCGCTGATCTCTGGTCCCGGCCTTGGCCGAAATTCCGTCGGCGGTGCTGGAGGTGACGGCTCCTGTGGCGGCGTGTGCTCGTCATCACCTTTGACTTGCATGTCCGCGGCAGGCGCTCGGCGCGTTCGCGTCTGGAGGTGGGTCTCCGTCGCGTTCTAGACCGTCGAATGTCCTATGGCCTGGGGACCGCTGGAGGCCCCTGCGCATGTCAGTCGACCAGCATGTGTTGAATCTCGAATCCACGAGACTCCTCCGTAGTGGCCGACATTCACTGGAGCTGGCTACACGTCCACAGCGCCCCACGCAAGTCGACCGACAGGCAGCCTCTGTGACTGCCGATGCGCACTCCTGGAACGATCCATGTCCCGCGCTTGGAGGGAGGGTGCGTTTTCCAGACCATGGCCGCATCGCGTGCCCGCGAAGAAGGCGTTTGAACGCGGGGCCTTGCACGGGCAGCTTTTTCGATCTGGCCTCCGATGGAGCCCTCGGCGTGGGCCTTCGCGGGCCCCCCCCCGGATCCTGTGCGTGGGGGGGGGGGGGGGGCCGGCGTGGGTGCGACGCTGCGAGGTCGCAGATGACATCTGGAGAGTGAATGTCATCGTTAGCTCGCTGAGCAGGAAGACGGTGGCCAATGCCTAATGCCCGCAGCAGCGGCGAGCATCCTGACCGGTGCTTCAATCTGTTTGTGGCAGCGCTGCGCTCCGAGGTCAAGTTGCGAAATGATGCGTGGCCAATGGAAGGTTGCATCCAAGTGGCCTTGTTCCATGTTCCATCTTTTTGAATATTGTCTCCGTGGCGCTCTGTCTGGCCATTTTGCCGAGGCGCCCGCGTGTCAGTCAGGGGGAATGTCTGGGACCCTGGCCGACGAACTCTCTGCCCAGATCGGCCGTGGGCACGAGCGGCGTGCCGACGTGTCGCGCCCTCGCGTCCGCCGCGCGCGCGGCGACGAACTCGGGCGTCCTGTCTTCTACTGGGACGCGCCACTGATGCAGAGCGCCCCAATGCACCGCGCTGCAAATCATCGCCATGGGTCCGTCTGGGCCAAGCATTATAAGGTAGACGCCGGGTCTCATTGAATCGGAGGGTTCGGGGCAACGACGCTGATGACGAGGCTCGGGTATTCGCCCTTTAGCGCTGCGCGCAGGTACGTGGAAATAGTCACCTGCGCGCGCGGCATTGTGCCTGGCTCAGTCGGGGAGCGCGCAAGATCTCCCGCCAATTTGATTGCCGCAGTTCTTGTGATCTTCGGGGTGGCGTGTTTCTGGACGCCCGCCAGGGGCTGCGCGAAGTTCTCGTCGTATTGCACGTGTGCCTGCTCGTCGTCAGCCTTCTCGGCGTTTGTTGGAGCTGGGTCATCTTGGGCAGACGCGTCGTCCGCCCATGGCAGGCCAACCCAGGCGCCGAGCTCATCGCTCCAGGTCGGTCCCGCGGATGGCGCGCCCCCTGCCTCGTGTCGTGTTGGCCATCGGGCACGCGCAATCGTCGTGCGAAAGTGCGACCTCATCGCCCTCGTGCCGCTCTCCGTGCCCAACGAGCTCCATGAAATCAAACAGGCCGAATGCGCTGTCGTGCCCAGAATAGCCAGCGCAGCGACGCTGACGACCACTGCAACAGTGACCACTGTTAGTGCTACTGCTGCTGCTGCTGCTGCTGCTCCATATGTGGAATTCGGCAACCAAGTCGCCGCATAAAAAATCCGACGCAGGCGGGCCATGCGCGTGCAATCAAGCGGGAATACAATGCACAGGAAGTGTTCAGCAAGTAGGCCATGACCAGGAACTGGACTCGTAGCTTGCCGGTCAAGGAACGCCATGCCCCCCAAAAATCTCGCGCGGCCAAGCACAATCGTAAGGCGCGACGAAACCAGAGGGGGAAATGGGAGGAGCAGTGATGCATGAAGATGGTGGTGTAGATGATGGCGTAATGCGCCAATTTCTGCCACGTGTCCAAGTCGCTGGAGCTGTGGATGTCTGGAATGTCCCGAACACCAGGCACTGTCTGGGCGACGCCAGGGCGCGCTGGCATATGGCGGGTGACGGAGCTGCTGTTATAGATGCTGGGTTGCTTGTTTGACTTGAGCCCGCTTTCCCTGGCGCAACCTTTAAATCGACGAGGTTCTCTTCGACGTGGCCCTTCAGGCCGTCTGTCGGCAAATTGTTGTCCCCCTGCAGCTCCGCGCCACGATTCTCGTCCCGCTGGCGCCCCACGTCAGGCCTGTCGGCGGCTCGGCTTGCTCTCCCTGAAGACGTCCTTCCTTCGACGCGATTCCGCTTGCGCCGTCGCAGGTAGGCAGCCCCGACTTTCGTGCACGCTGGGATGTTGCCGCTCATCTGGGTATCTCAGCCTTCGAACGGATGTTCGCCACCGCTTCCGGTCGACAAGGTCCGGTGCTGGTCTCGCAGAAACTCAAATTTCTGGAGGTCTGCTTCCGACTCGCCCCGGCCCTTCGCGCGCAGGATATCGCCCCAGATGTCGTCTGCCGCGGCGGGCTGGGCCGTTCTCTGGAAAACCGCGCGGGAGATCTCGACGACCCAGCGGCTTGCGTTGGGAGCCAATCCCGATTGTCGTCGTCGTCGTCGTCCAGCGATCCAGGGCCCAATGCCCGTGGCCTCTCGCGCGGCGGCAAAAATCGCACGCCAGCTCGAAGCCGTCGTCGCTCTACTCGCTGTCCCGGTCGCCCTCCTCGCCGACCTCGCTGCGAGGTCCTCCTCCTCCGAAGACCGCGCGCCGAGCTCGGCGCCGCGGTCCTCCGCGCGGCCGTCCGATGACGGGTAAGCAACCGTGCCGCAGAAGAGCGAATCTGGTTCAGAAGATGAGACAAGCGCTGCCCCTGTCGCCTCCTTCTGTTGAGGCCTGTTCGCTCGCCGGAAGAGCTGGCGCCCGACGCGTCGAGTGCGAGTCTCGAGAGCAGTGGCTGGTTTCCGTCGGCCGCCCTGCAGCTCGCGGGGCCCAGTGCGGGCTCGGCGGCGGGTGTGCATCCATGCCCTTGCTGCGGCCCTTGAGCTCTCTCCCAAGAGCCTGTCGCGGCCCGCCCTGCGAGCTGCCGCCAGAGCCGCTCGACCGCCCGCGGGCGATCTGGCTCTGCTGCAGATTCTGGCGGAGCTGCTGGTTGCTCTGCGGCTTACCCCTCGGGAGGGCGTGGCGAACCTGGCGAAACTAAGAGAGCGCACGCAAGACGTCATCCTTGTCGCATTCGCCATTCAACCCGCTCTTGTCCATAGACATGAGCTCGTCATCTTCGCTGTCGTACTTCATCAAGGTTGGCGTCGTCGTCCTCGTGCTCGGACTCGCGCTGTCGTCGACGGCGAAGCCGTAGGCCTGCAGGAAAACTCCCGGATCGCATCCGCTGGGTCTGTGCAGCCCCGAAAACCTACGGTTTGGGACATAATGTTGTCTTTGCCCCAGGATCTTCGCACGTTTGCAAGATATCATGCCCTTCCGACGGTCTGCGAACAGGTTGGCGTGGGAATCTGCTTCGGGGAGGCAGACCAGGCGACGTTGGCGAACTGCACCAGGCTCTGTTTGCGCTCTCGGTGAAGGCCGCACACAGCTGTGTTAAGAATCGCCCTGGCCCCCGAAATCCGAAATTTGCCTGTGGTCCTGCTCCAGAAGACTCTGGATATTGTTCGGGCCTCTGGATCCTCAATCTGGGCGTCTGTCACGTGATTGAACATCGCACGATGGTCGCCGCACAAAACTGGGCTGCCCGCGTTCTGAAGACACCGGGTCAAAATGCGGCGGTGAGTTCTCTAAGTGTGCTCGAGGTGGTGCCTGTCCCAAGCCGTGGGTGGCTCCTTGTCGACGAATCGGCTGTGGGTGTATGGGCGTTGGTGGCAAGCCTAGCGCGTGGGCGGCCCGAAGGATTCTACCAAAGTCCATTCCTCGTCTCGCTTTTCCTGCCAGCCGTGCTGCCAGACCCACCAACCTGTGTACGTCTCCTCGGGATCGGGCGCCGAGCTTGGCACTTCGTCTCCTTGCTCCCGCCACCGCCGCAACCGCGGCAGCAACGATCAGCTGACGAATCTCTTCTGGCAAGCCATCGCGCGCTCCAAGGGATTCACTGCGAGACATGCCGTGGATTTGTCAACCCACGCTCCAGTGCCAACCTTGGAAACAATATTGTGCAACACGATGTGCAGTCATGCAAGGTATCTGTACGCATTGCGCCACGAGACTCAACGGCCCCAAACAGCAATGGATGATCGCACGGTGGCAACAACAGGGGAGAGGGGAACGCAAAACCACAAGAGAGAAAGACAAGAGAGTATCACCGCTACTGCACACCTACTTTGCGTCCAGGATGGCCCTGGCCAGGCACGGTGGTAGTGTACGGTGAAGGCATTTGATAAGGAACCATTGAGTAAGAAATCCATGGTCTGGAATCCGATCCAGGGTATGGAATCCGGTGGAACTCCAATTATGGATTCCGCCGCCCTCACCAAATAAGGAACCCTCCAGGGTCTGAAGCCTCATGGTTAGCAATTGAGACTCCCCAGTGTTATCGTTGGCGCCGGGACGAACATACATAGTCCGCGGGGGCGGGTTCAGCGGAACGATATCTTCAGCACCGCACCGAGCCGCAGCCAATGAATAATTCTTGCCCCTCCTCCTCCTCCTCCTCATGCTCCCCCTCGCCACTCTCGAGGGTTGCTGGGGGCTTCAAAGGAGTGCTAAGAGACGGCCAAGTGCCAGGGTGCCACGGTGGCGCTTCAGGGTTCTTGGTGCGATCTCGTTTCCCCAGAGGGGGGGGGGTCCTACTGCCGACCAAGGTCGCAGATGCCGTTTGCGGAGTCTCGGGCGGCCGCCTCCCCGCCCTCCCTGCTCTGCCCTCTTGTGCGCACCGCCGTCCTGAATCAGCGCGTCGGACCACCAGCCGTGAGAGTCCTCGCCGCCGCTCGCGCCCGCCCTCTTCCGCCCCTCGTACCAGCAGCTGCTCGGGACGTCGACGCGCTGCAGGCAGTAGCCGGGCCTGTCCTCGATCTCGAGCAGGGCCGTCCTGCTCCAGGGGCCGACCGCGCCAGCACCCGCCAGAGGCACCTCCAGCACGATGGGCGCCAAGGGCGGGCCGAGACCACACGGAGTCTGAGCGACCTCCACGAGCGGTTCGCTGGGCGGGGCAACGCCTGCGGACTCGGGGTACCGCGCCACCACCGAGAACTCGTAGCTTGTGGCAGGCAGCAGGCCAGGCACGTCCAGCCTGATCGGGCTGCCCTCGTACCCCTCGAAGAGCAGGCCGAGCTCGTGGTCCCTCTCCTGCTTCAGCCGCTTGTCCACCTTCTGCGACGCCTGCGCGGGTGTCAGGCCCGCGATCTCCTCGAACAACTCGGGAGTGGCGATTCGCTCGATCAGCTCCTCGTCGAAGGGGAATGCCCGCTGTTCGGTGTTGACTACCGTGACGACGGGGACGGCGGCCTCGCCGGCTGCCGCCGGCGCGCTCTCGATGGCAAGACCCGTCGCTTCCTCTTGCTCCTGGGCATGGAACCTCGGCGTGGCCGTCACTGTGACCTCGGCGCTGGTTGCCCCCGCGGCAAGCTGGAACGGCGGGAACCGCAGGGAGGCCAGAGTGGGGCCAAGGGTCTCGCAAAGAAAATGGGCGGTGGGCGTGGCGACCATCATTGGCGCGGAGGTGGCGAACGTGACCGCTGGACAGGCGGCATCCGCCCACGGCGACCACCGCGAGGAGGTGCCCACGCGCACCTGCACCTCGTACGTGGTGCCGGCCGCCAGGCCGTCCTCGGGCCACAGCCATAACTCGTGCCGGTCGCCCGCGTCCAGCGCAAGCGCTGCGGCGGCGGAGAGCGCGCCCTCGCCCGCGGGCGGCGCGGGGCCTGGCCTGGTGGCGCTGGGGCACGCGGGCGGCAGCGCGCGCGGCGGCAGCAGCACCCACCCGAGGGAGGGCTCGGCCTCGCCCGCGTCCCAGCCCGAAGTCTGCGGCCTCACGCGCACCTGGGCCCTGCCGACGAACGCGTGGCCAGCGAGATGGCGCGAGGTGCCCCCGCTCTCTGGCGCGGCGCCCGCCGCCTTCCTGATCTCCGCCGCGACGCTGAGGGCGTCCAGACTCACGCCGCCCCCCTGTGCGCCGCCCTGTGCAGGGGGAAGAGGCAACGGCACGAGTGTAAACTTGCGGAGGGCCGCCCAGACTTCTCGGATCGGCGCTGGACCCCCCGCCCTGACGGCGCCTCTGGCGCCGGCCCCGGCGCGCTCCGCGCGCCAAGGAAAGGGGTCCCACGCCGATCCGCGCGGACCTCCGAAAGCTAATGCCCGTGCCGTTTTTCTTCCTTCTCGGCCTCGGCCAGGGCGGAGCCCAGGAAGAGGCGCACCATCATCCCGTGCGAGCGGCGGCGCGGGCAGTACCTGACCTGGGCCAGACAATGCGCGGGGGCGGCCAGCTGCGCCGCGACTGGCGCGGAGGTGGAACCCGTGCCCATGTGCGGGGCGACCGTGGAGGCGGCCTTGTGCCGGAGGCGGCACACCACTGGCCCGTCGGTGAGCGGCTCCTCGTCGGGGTGCAGCAGCACCGCTAGGGCCGTCCAGCCACGCCCGGCAGGGGACATGGTGCCGATCACCCGCTGCTGCGCCACGGGGCGGAAAGGCACTCGCTCGCGGCCCTGCTCCGCGCTCCGCCCGCCGCCTGCTCCGCCGCTCTGGCCGTCCTGCTCCTCGCCCTCCACTTCGCCTGGCGGCGCCCGCAGCGCGGTCGGGGCCCACTCGACGCGGTACTCCGCCGCCGCCGCGCTGTCGACCAGCAACGCCAGCCACGCCGCGCTGTCTGGGAAGGGGGCTGTCGCCGGCGCGCCGCCGCGGCCCTGGCCGGCCAGCAGAATCGCCTCCACCTCGTCCGTCGCAATGGGCACAGGCGCCAGCGGGGGCGGCCGGTCGCCAAGCACCGTGTGGATGGGCGCCTCGGTGACAGAGGGCGTCTCCGCCCAGCCCCGCTCGCCCACGAAGGGGTACCGGGCGTCCACGCGGACGGCGTAGAACATGTCCGCCATCAGCATGCGCGCCTTCAGGAAGTAATTAGCCACGGTTCGCTGACCATGTGTTAGGTTAGGTTTATCAGAACCAACCGCCTGGTTATAACGTTCATAGAAAACAGCATGGTTCAGTTGCATACATCTAGCACCAAGCTAGCACACACCAATTAATTGCTGTGAGGCCTCGTACTCCACATGGCCGGGGCCAGAGGCGGCCGTGAAGATGCCCCCGATCTGCGCGCCCGGCCCGCGCCAGTCGGGGTCGACGGTCTGCGGCCCATCATCCAGGTGGCAGATGGTCACGCGGTACTCGCACAGGGACAAGCTGCCCGCCAGCTGGAACGGCTGCCAGCGGACCTTGGCGGACGAGTCGGTGCAGGACACCACCTGTGAGGATTCAAGAAGGTACTGATGCTGCTGCTCCCTGGACCTCACCTGATGCTGCTGCTCCCTGGGTATACCCAGGATGTCGAGGCGAATCCAGCCGTGGCATCTTTCGGGCCGAATCGTGAGGGTCCCACAGCCCGAAGCCGGGCGAAACTGTCATTGTAAAAAAAGATGCAACGCCAGGATCTCAAGTCTGCTCTCCCCTGAGCACCTCCACTGGGCCCATGGGCAGTGGGGGCGGCACTGTCGTCTCGAGCTCCTCGGACTCCTCGGACCAGGCGGACCAACGCAAGGCGGTGCCAACGCGGACCTCGGCGCACACCACCAGGCCGTGCGGCACGCCCTCGAGCAGCACCGCCCAGCTGCCCGACCTCAGATGATGTTAAAAACGCTGGGGGGCGTTCTTTTTGGTTGTTTCCTGTTTTCAAGATCGACGTTTGTGTGGTGCAATTTTGCTATATTGGGGCCAACTTTTCCGTTTTGGGATACCTGTTCGCGCCGTTTCCAGGTCGGTTCCGTTCTTTGCAGGGTTTTGTGTTTTCTCCTGTGTGATATGTATATGATATGTTGCTTGTTGTTTCGTGCTCCTGTTTAGGGGTGCCACACCATAGTATACCTTGGTACCAGACAATGAATATGCCACAACACAATACTGTATTACAAGCCCTCTCATTGCATACCACCACATAGCATGCCGTACCATATCCCACCCTAACACAACAGGACCTCTTGGGGGGCGCTTGGGGTCTCTTCGGAGCCTCTTGGGGCCTCCTGGGGGCGTCTTGGGGCCGATGGCCCGACATATCAATTCGAATACCCCGTCTGGGCTCCCTCCTGGAACCGTCTTGCGGGCCTCTTGGGCCGTCTTGGAGGCCTCTTGGACCGTCTTGGGGCCATCCTGGGCCCTCCTGGGGCCGTCTTGGGGCGATCTTGGGGGCCTCTTAGGCCGTCTTTGAGCGTCGGGAAGCCGAACAGGGGAGAACCCCAAAAACCTTCAAAAACCATAAAACAAAACAATGATTTTTGCATCTTAGGGCCCTCTTGGGAGGCCTCTTGGGGCGTCTTGGAGGCCTCTTAGATCGTCTTGGAGGCCTCTTGGGCTGTCTTGGAGGCATCTGGGCGAAATTGGAGGCCTCTTGATCCCTCTGGACTCGTCTTGGAGGCCATCTTGGACCGTCTTCGGCTATCTGGAGGCCACTGGAGGCCTCTCGGGAGAAAACTTTTGCTATTACATCTGAGGGTCTGGCTGCCGCCTCCCTCGAACTCCCCCTAGTTTACTTTCTCCCGGCTAACGGATCGCACGCTACGCGCGCTTTCTGTCATCCGCTGCCCCCTGTTAGCCTTGCCACAAGGGTGCCTGGCGTGCAAGACCCTACAATTTTTGGTTTTAGTTCGTTTCCAAAAGAACTCCCCCTGGGCTTCGGCGCATTGCGCCGGTCACCGGGAAAGGTTCCCAATTTTCGACTCCTGTTGTCCAGATCGCCTCTAAGACGGCCAAGATGGCCCAAGATGGCTTCCAATATGCCTCCAAGACGCCTCCAAGACTGCCAAGACGGCCCCAAGAGAGCCCAAGATGGCCCCAAGGTGCACTCAAGACGGCCCAAGATGCACCCAAGATGACTCAAGATGGGTTCAAGATGGTCCAAGACGGCCCAAGGGGCCCCCAAGAGGCCTCCAAGGGGTCCTCTAGGAAGGCCCGAAGATGCCAAATCATTCATTATCCCAGCGTTTTTGAAGGATTCTGGCATTTGCTTCTTTTCGACCTTCCGACGGCCCGAGGCGGCCTTGGGCAGTTATGAGCCCATTTTGGAGGCCTCTTGGGCGATCTTTGGGGGCTCTGGAGCACCCCAAGAGGGCGCCAAGTCGGCCCAGAGAGGCCCACTAGACTGCTTCCGACGGCGTCAAACGGGCCAGGGATGCCCTAATACAGTCACAGAGGCCCCCGAGAAACCCCCAAAGGCCCCCAAGAGGCCCACGGAGGCCCCCAAGATGCCTCCAAGAGGCTCCGAGGAAGCTCCCAAGAGCCCTGAGAGTGCCCCCAGAGGCTCCCAAGATGCCTCCTCCTCCTCCTCCTCCTCCTTCTCCTGATCTTCTCTGCCATCCTTCCCAAAGTGTTTCCCGAAGGGCTTCCACAACGGCTGGGGGAACAGATGGTCCGATAGCTTGGCAGAGCTCTTGCCACCACGCTCGGCCACATGGGCGATTCTAGAAGACAGGGGGCGGCGGTGATTCGCCGTAGGCGTCTTCGATAACAGGAAAGAAAACGTTAGCGACCGATTAACGGCGCCCTACCAAACGCGACGTGCGTGTCTAGGTCAAGCTGGCCACAGGAACAAGACACAAGAGGCGCAGCAACGGCCGATTTGACGACGCATCGAAAATGACAGGCAAAATGACGTAACTCCAGCCCGTCCAGAACATCACATGACGTAATCGAATATTATGAAATAGGACATACGTGCAAACAAACATAATTGAAGACTGTATAGTAAAGCAGCGACGTATTACTGGCGCCCTATCACATGCAACACGCGAGCCGACGTAAGCCTGGCCACAGGAATATGCTATACATATGGGTCGAGCAGAACATAATCGAGCATAACGTGATGGAGTTGAATGCGTCAGCGACTGAGTAACGGCGTCTTATCAAACGCGACACGCGCGCCGAGCTCAGGCTGGTCAAATCAACAAGTAACACCAGAGTCAGGAACACACGTGGAAGGTTTCGGTGGGGATCGCTCGAACCTTGTTTGCTCTTTGATTTAGTTCTTCTTGTCTTGGGCTGTTATTGATCGTTTTCTGTCTGTTCCCCCCCTTCCCGTTGTGATTGGCCGAACGCCGAACAGTTAAAAACGGATGATAGAAACGCCCCCCAGCGTCTCTAACATCAACCGAGTCTCCGACGCGGGGTCGAACGGGCACGTGGATCGCCCGAGCTCCACGACGGGGCCGGTCTCCTTGTGGCCTGCGCTGGCGGCCGGCGGCAAGGGTCCGCGCATGGCACTTGCGGCGCCGGTGGGCTCCTGGTCGGAGGCCGCCCGGCGCAGCACCCGCCACCGCACCTGCTCGGGCGTTGCCAGAAGGTGTCCTGGCCCCCAGGCCTCCTTGCGTCGCGAAGCAATCACGACGCATTGGCTTTCGCTGCGTTCGGCCTCTGTGGGCTCCGGATGACGAACTGGTCTGGGGGAGTGCGTCGAGATTTCTCGGGGTCGACGTTACGCAAAAATCGTTTCGTTTGGGGTCTGGGCCTGGGGCGTCCCCACCCTCAAACCCGGGTGTTGCAATCTCGCGCTGAGCGTTCTCTCGCGCCTTCGGGCCCCAGGACCCCCACACATCGACCCGGCTCGAATGACGCAGAAGGATGGGGTCGAAGGCTCTGAGTGCGGGGACGCCTCGGGCCCAGACCCCCGACGTCATGTTTCTTCATAGCGCGGGCCCCCGAAGGTCTCGACCCATTCCCCAGAACTGGATTTTCACCCCGACTGATTTTTCAACGGCCCCGAGGCCTGGCAAGGCCCCCCAGGGGCCGAGGATAGAGAAACATCTTGCGTCGTGATTTTTTGCGGCGCGAGGCGATCCGGGGACAGGGCTCCCTTGGTGACATCTGCGATGTTGCCATGTTTCGGCCGCGCCGGATCTCTGAGGGCGTCCCCGGCCTGTCACGCCATTCTGGAGCGAACGGGGCCCTCTGGGCCGCGTGAGGCGTGCTCCGGAGGCCATCTGGGCCTCCGCGGGGATCCTGGGGACAACGGACAACCTGGGCGAGGGGCACATTAGACATCCGACGATCTGATCTCTTCGATGCGCGGCCCCAGAGGTCCCGACCCCTTCCCCGGGGGCAGTTCTCCGCCCCGGGTCTGTTTCTGATTGCCCCCAGGCCCGGCCAAATCTGGCTCACAGACGCCCGAGCTGAAACAACATATCATCGAATATCTAGGTTTGGCAAGACACCCACCGCTTGGCGCGGAACGCCGACGGGACACCACGGCGGGACACCCCGGGCCACCGCGCGCCCACCAGGGGCGGATGGGCGGCCCACTGCATCCGAATCGCCCCAGCCCTAGCGACGGCGGGGCCATTCCTCTCGCACGCCCACGCAGTTTCGCCTTGCCCGCACGCGCGACACGAACACGAAACCGAAACCGCTGTCCTGGTGGAGGGCTCTCCGCTCCACTGCGACCCCACCCCCCAAGCCTCCAATCTCTGGGTTTGCCAGGACACCCGACCTGGGCGCGGCACAGGCCGAGCGCCGGGTAGGCCGCCCAGGGCCCGGCGCCCGCGGCCTCCGCCTCCCGCTTCGCCGCGAGGGCGGTGCCGTCGTCCGTCGAGGTGAACCGCAGCCGCACGGCCAGGCTGCAGTAGTCGCCGCGCACGGCCACCTCCGCCGCGGGCCTCGTGGGCGGGTCCACCACGGTGGCCACCGGGTCGGTGGGCGCGGAGCACCAGTTGGTCATGCCGACGCCGGGCTGCCTCTCTGGACCCCCGTCCAGCGATGAGCAAGTCATGGCAGGGGTCTGCTGCTGTATTTTCGGCCTCTGGGGGCCCTCACCGGGTCCCAGGACTGTCGCCAAACGGCCCATGATGAAAAGCCCGTCCCAGGGAGCAAGTCCAGACCTCCTGGGGACCACTTCTCTCGGGAACGTTCCGCGACGCTGTCAGAGCGTGCCCGAGCGAGCCGAAGCAACCGTGGCGCCTATGAATGTAGTCGTGGGTCTGGGCCCCAAGCCCCCGACGTCGTATTTTTTCAAGGGTGTGGACCCCTTCCGGGGGACCAACCTTCCATCCTGAGCCGACTTCTTTACACTTGCAGCCCCGAGGCCTAGCGAGGGCCCCTGGAGGCCAGGAGGGCCCCAGGGCCCGAAACAGGGCAAACACGCATGGTGGGAAAAACCACGACCCTCCGGTCTCATAAAGGGGCCTCAGGACACACAAATAAATACACACAAATAAAAATATTCCCCATATTTTCCTATATTTTCTGGGTTTTTGTCTTCCCCCCCACTTCCCATATTTTCCCATATTTTCCTGGGGATCGTCGATTAATTGTGTCTGTGTGTTTTTTTTTCCTCCTGATCTCAGGGAACCTTCCGTGGCGAGACTGTCACGGCGCGACAGGGTCTGGCTCCTGAGCTTTCGGGCCACAGCTCGGCTCTCCGGCGGCCGTTTCGGGCACCCTGCTGGCGCCCATCCCGCGAGGCTGGAAAATCGCCGAAGACCGACGGACACGTTCGAACACCTCCGAAACACCGCCCGGCGAGGACCCGCTAGAAATCATGCGTTTTTTTACGACGCGAGCTTCGGAAGCAACTTCTGGGAGGTCTTCGTCAGAACGAGTAAGGGCTATTGAACCGCATTAGCGGGCCATTGAGCTGGATCAGCCAGACCAAGCCCAAGATAAAGGCAAATTCAAAGATATCGGACCGGATTGATCGGGATTGAGCCAGAGTCGCGGGACTGAGCCAGATTCAGCGGGATTGGGCCAGATTGAATGGTATTGCGCCGGACTAGGTGAGTTTTCGACCAGGGATATACCACGGCCGATTCAGCATTTATCCTCCCATCGTTGCATCCCAGTCGGGTGTTGCTAGAAGTGCCCCTGGCCCAAGGTGCCCCCAGGATTTCCAAGGAGGCCCCCGCGGCCTTTAGAGCACCCCTCACGGGGGCCACTTGGGCCGGGGGCACCCTCAGCGACCCCCGATCCCAGTCGATAATCCTGAGAACGTGTGTTAGTCCCGAAGTGTGTTTGTCCATCGAGGCCCTTCGATACGACGCAGGCGACGTACTGATCTACTGGCTGCGTTGAAGGGGGTAAACACACATTGGGCGAAAACGCGTCCTGAGGATCATCGACCCAGGCGAGGGCGTCTGCAGCCTGAACGCGAGCCGGAACTCGGCGCGGGCGTGGTGGAGGCCGGTGGCCAGGTGCACGTCGGCGCGGCCGTGCGCGGGGCGGGGCTCCACGTGCTCGACGTCCGCCCACGGGTTCTCGGCGCCGTCCTCCTGTGGCGGGGGGCGGCGCTGGCCCGAGTTCCTGGGGTCGCAGTCTTTTCGAGCTGGGCGTTTTCGCACGATTGCGGGCCCCAGGGGGCCCTCACAGACGGATCCGGCCCGAAGGGTGCAGCAGGAAGATGGGGCCTGGGGGCTCTGGTCGTGCCTTCTCCCGATGCTGCAAATTTTTCGCGTCGTCGGATCTCAGGGTAGCGACAGCGATAGCAATGACAACGATAACAACGATACCGATCGCAACGATAACGATCACGACGATAACAACGATAGCGCTAACAACGATAACAACGGTAACGATAACAACGATAGGTCGCGTCGTCGGATCTCGGGGTCGGGGAGGCCCTCCCTGGCGGTCTTCCGTCCGTTTTCGGGGGCTCCCGGAGGCTCCTCGTGTCCGTGGCCAGGCCCGCGTCGCAACACCAGTCAGGATGGAACCCGGGAGGGGTCCCGGGCCAGTTTTTGAGCGGGTTTTGGGCTGGGCGGTCGCTGTCTGAACTGGCCCTTCTCCTCGCCATCCCCCCTGGGGGGCAATGGTAGGGGAGGGCCAGCTCAAGGGGGGGGGGGTAAGCATCGAGCCAGAATCGGCGATGCCTCGCCAACAGATCTGCCATAGAGGCCCCAGATAGCGGATCCGCACGTTCCTGGGCGAGGTGTGCTATCAGGCCCCTATCGGCGACGAGTGGGCGATTGGAGGTCACGCCTTGAGCGGTGAGTGGGCCCCCATCGGTGATGACTGGGCGATTCCTGAGCCTGTCCCCCCCTCACGTTGCCCCTGACCCAGACATCCGACGATATGATGGCTTTGTTCAATAAGCGGCCCCGAGGAGGTCCCGACCTTTCTTCAGAGTAAGTCTTCCGCCTCGGGTCCAAACCCCTCGCGTCGTGGACCAAACTTCTTGCGCCGGCGGCGAGGCAGAGGGTGACTGCGCTGGCGATGCGGAGCGACACGGGGCAGGCGTGAAGCGAACTGGGCCGCCATGCAAGCGGGGGGGCGGGGAAGGAGGACGACGGGGCGACGGCCGAGGGGAGAGGGAAACTGGCCGAGGCCGCTCAGAGGGGCGAGGTGACGCGTCGTGAAACAGACAATCGCGACGGGAAGCTTGCCCCTACCTTCGGCCTTCGGGGGCCGTCGCCAGGCCTCGGGGCCGTCAGACGACTGCTCCCCACGAGAAAACGGGGTCCACCTTCTGATAAGATCACGACGTCGAAGGTCTGGGGGGGGTGGTCCCCACCCCTCCCTCTGAAGCATGCTTCTCGCCCCGGTTCCGTTCTGGATCGCCCGCGGCTCACGGCAGCGCGCCCCTGGGGGAAAGCGCCCAGATTTGAGATATACAAATATTCCTCTTCCTATATTTTTATAAGCCCGGGCGGGGGGAAAACCCATCCCCCCCCCCAAAACCGGACTCCTGGGACCTGGGGCTTTGGGGCCCTCCGGACGGGGCTCGAAGCGGCCACCAGGCCTCGCAAGGCGTTTTGCCAAGCCTTCCCAGCACACTTAGGGCGATCGGGGGGGTCATCGGAGACGTCCCAGAGACCCCCAAGACAACACAAGAGCGCTCCAAGAGTGACCGACGTGACCTCAAGATGGCCCAAGAGGCCTCCAGGACGGCCCTAAAGAGGCCTCCAAGAGCACTCCCAAGAAGGCCCCCCGAGGCAAAA